TCTCTTGCTCCACCCGCCCTACAGCTGCAGGCTATGCCATCTCTTATCTGACCGCCCCTCTGGCAGCGTCTCCAGGCCCAGGCTTCCAAGATCTTGGCCACGTACCATTAGGACTGGCTGCTGCTCTGCAGAAGCCCATAAGCAGTACGGGGGGTCTGGGCTTGTTGAATGGCCTCCTGAAAATGTGGTGGAGAAATGGGAACTATTATATTAACAAACAAACCCTGGGGCGCCAACCAGCATTAATGGGGGCAGCTCCCTTGAGCGTCTCCAGCTTCAGTGCCGTGTGAGCATTTGTGTTCCCTCCCCATGCTAGCAGAAGAAACAGCAGCCAGTTTCTCAGTGGGGAGGGCTTCCCTTTCCATGGAGATTCAGAGGGCTCTTCCCCCCAGGTCTTGTGCAGCAGTCACATTCTCCAGGTTCCCAGACAGGATTTCACTGATGTATTGTAGGGTACGGTTGTCAAAGATCATGTTGAGGTGCTCGGCTCCAGGCAGTTCCAGGACATGGACCTTCTCATTCTGCTGGTTGCGAAATTCCTTGCACAGCTCTATGTTGCGCCAGCTAATCATCTCATCCCCGTCCCCATAAATAATATCCACTGGGTCCTCGTAGGGAAAGCGGTCGTCGTAAATGTAGGTCTCTGGAGTGGGGTATCCTGTGCCAAAGAGGCAATAGACCTCCACGCCCGGGGCTGGCAGCCCTTCCAGCAGCTCCTTGCTGTCATTCCACATGAACCAGCCATCTTCAAAGTTGATATCGTGGAAGAACTGCCGGTAGTCCTGGTAGGTGTAGTTGTAGAAGGGGGTAGAGACGAAGACGTGTGTCTTGGGCCAGGCTGTGAGGGCGGGGAACAGCCAGGGAGTGTTTGTGGACATTCGCTTTTCCTCCCGCAATTTAATGTTAGACATAACAGGAATGCCCTGATGGTCACCTGCAAACGGCACCAGTGGAACTGCATTATTCTATTATCACTTTCGGGTTTGCTAATTTGCAATAAAAAATTGCATTACAATATTATTTAGCCACAGAAAACAGCTGGCGAATAAAATTAACAAGATCAAATTTCTAGGAATTCTTCCCTCTTCTTAAAGATAAACCAGGTGAAAAGACAGAAATAGATCGATGCCTCTCCTTCTTTTCCTCAGAAGGCCGGGGGGGGGGGAGATACACCCAGGATCTTTAGTGGGCAGGACGGGGAAAGCTGGAAACCAGAAAGGACAGCTGGCGCAGCGAAGCTCCGTGCAGGCCCCAGGGAGACACGGCTGCAGCACCTGGGCAGCTACTCACCCGAAGCCATGATCCGCATGGGTTTCACTACTCCCCCCCAAGGGGCTCCGAGGGAAATGAAGCCCTGAACAAAACGGTCCTTCCAGGCCTGCGGCTGCTGGACCAGGAAGTAGAGGAGGTGGAGGTTGCCCAGGCTGTGGCCAATCAGGAAAACCGGCTTCTGGTAGGCTTCAAACATCTCTTCGATGAGGCCCCGCAGCTTGGCATAGTAGTCCTCTTGCTCGGCTGTGGAAAGAGGAGGAGCATGGGAGGAACAGTGCCAGAGGGCTCCTTCCACCCCTGCCCCCCCCCCCCGAGGCTGCAGGCCAACCATCTCTGTTCCTTCGAGTCTTGTGGTAAACGCTGTGGGAAGGGCAGGTGAGGGGAATTGGGGTGGGATGCTCCTGGGGAAGACAGCTGACCCTTGACCCCCTTCTCACCCCGATGGCTCAGCCCTGATGCTGAGGCTCTGGGTCCTTGGTGGCTTCCAGCTGCCCCCCAAGCGCCGGGTTGGGCTGTAAGGAAGGATGCCCAAAGCTACACTGCAGAACTTCATACCCCCTCCCCCCCCGATCTCTCCATTTCATGTCACATCTTATTCATGTATTTGTCATGTCAGGGTTTCAAATACGGAGAAGCCAGGGATTGGTGGGAAATATTAAATCCCTCTGATGACCTATTATATTATCAGGCAGATCTGGACCATGTTCTTCATTCTTCTTAACCCGGATTTGTGAAAGAAAAATCCTTAACTGGGAAAAAGTTAATACCAGTTTTTTTCAGTGGAGAGCAGGAAATGGTTTCCTTTGGCCCCTGCCTTGATCCTATGGTTGCTTTGCGGGGGGCAGTTAAAAAAAAAAAAGAATGACCAATGGAAGGCCTGAAACTAATGATCAGGCTTTAGTGATTGATTGATTGACTGATTAATATTCAAACTTACATAGCTGCTTGTATCAACAACCTTTGGCAGAACAGAAAACAGTAAAAAATGCTGAAGAAATGGATTCCCCTGCTGCAGGATCTGAGTTGGAGATGGCTGATACGGGATGTACTTCAGGGTGGGTTCTGATGGCCCTCCTCGGCCCTCCCTCCCTGCTGATGTCCCTCGGAGAGCAAGGGGACAAGGCCCCCTGCCCCAGCGTACTCACTGGGGTTGAGCCTCCAATCGTAGGGAGCAGCTCTCACGGTCTGATCGCGCACATAGCCGTTGTTGACCAGGTGCTGCACCAAGGTGTGCATGTAGCCTGGAGCAAGGAAGAGAAGGGAGGTTAGTGGGTGGCGGAGGGCAGGGCTACCTCCAGGGAACCATCTACACTACAGGTATGGCTCTCCTTTGGCAAGGGGCTTGGAGGCCTCCCTGGAGTGTCATGGTCCAGGCGTCTGCTCATCTCCTTTCCAAACTCCTTCCCAAACCATTCTTGATCCCCCTCAGAAGAAGCCAGGCGGTTTTTAAAAAAGGCGCCAAGATCAAAGTGATTCCAAAGAGATTCACGCAGATCCTGCACTGCCTGGTAGCAACCTTTGAGATCCAAAGGGCTGCCCTCCGCTGAGCACCTCTCAAAGATGCCCCATCTTTCCAATGCCTTCAAGAAAACAGGAAAATCGTAATGTAATTTCCACTGCATTATTGTCCTCCCTAAACCTATCTCTGCTTGAAAGGAGACTGGCCACCGATTGACCCAAGAAGGGCTGTGGTTGCTCTGCCACACTGGCAAGAAAGCTGCCTGTGGAGCTGTCTGGCCAGGAGCTACACCCCCCCTCCAGTCATCATAACTGTATATTGGACCCCCATGGAGGGAGGGCCCTTGTGCAGGCAGCCAACGAAGGCCAGTGCTAGGCAGCCTATGGCCCAAACTCTCTGCCATTATTTCATGCAGGAAAACCCGGGAATCTGGGGAAACCAAAAACTCGGAAGAAGAAGTCATTTGAGGATGCATTTCACCCTGTTGGATTTCTCTCCAGCTCAGGAAAAGCTGAGCTAGCTTTTCTAAGCTGCTTTTCTCCAGTATTTGGGGCTGGCTTTGACCCAAAGGCTGAGTGTTGGCTCATCCTGACCCATTCTGGATTGCCACCCTGAGAAAAAACGAGGTTTCCAACCACTGCTTAGGGAAACGATGCTAAATACAGGTCCCTTCACATACTTAGCTACTTAGAAGCGCTGGCAGAGGATGCGTGAAGAGGCCCAGGGCTGGAAGCAACCCCCCCATCCAGATCAAGAGGGAAGAGCTGTCTGGGGTGGGGCCTCCTCCCTCCCTCTCTCCCTCATTCTTACCAGCCAATTTGCCACCGTCCAGGTATTCCACGGAAAAGGTCTGGCCAAACCCGGGAACTCTGATGTGGACCCCAGGGGAGTTGGTTATCCTCCGGGTGGTTTTATTGTAAATCACTCTGTGTCCCCCAAGGGCGGGTCAAGAGAAAACACAATCATTATTTTAGGCTGTCCACTTCCAATAAAGACCACCTTTACCGGAGAACTTTAAGGGGCTAGATATCACACTCAGGATCACTAGCAGCTTTGATCTAAAAACTCCACCAAGCCTTAATCCTTTAGATCTACTGTCCAGGTTGATGCCTCAAATCGTGTGGACTGGAGGCCTCCCGGTTGCCTCCTGTGTTTGTGGTCTCTGCCAACAGGTCTTGAAAAAGAAGGCTCCCACTGAGCCACCAAATGGCACCGTGGGGCATAGGGAGTCTTCCTCCTGTCAGAATCTGCCCCCCACCAGTAAGTATCAGCTGAGAGGGCATGGGGGAGATTGGGGGCTGCCAGGGGAGGGAGACGCCTGCTGCACTGGGCAATCCATGCCATGTTTGCCTAGCTATCTTAAAACAGGAGTTGCCCACCTTTTCAGGGACGCTAAAGCCATGATTAAAACTAACTGCTGAAACAGCAACATGGGCTTGCACCATGATGCCCTTCTTGATGCCTGCCAGCTGTTTAAGGGGACTGGTCTTCTAATCTAAGGCAGCCCTGAACTCAGCCTGCCTAACAGTTGATGAGGTGGGGGGGGCAGGAAATGGGAGCCCCCAGTCCAGCCTGGGTATCCCAGGTGAAAGCAATGAGAGTCCATCAGGATCAGTGACCATGGTAGAGGCCAGGCAGTCTATAATTGCAAAATCAGCAATTTTCTGAGGTTCACTGGGGGGAAGAGACGTTCCCAGAAAAAGTTAATACCGAGAGGTTCTATTGGAAAGTTATGGGATCGTATTTGCATTCAGGCCTGAGGCGAAGTGAATGAGAGACGCACTCAGGGACTGCAATAAGTCCCAAAATGCTTTGCTTACTTTTGGCTTAGCATGCTCTTGAATCGGCCATAAATCGTGGTTTATGGTTTAGCAGAGCTTGTGCGAGTCACCCATTATGTTGTATAAAACAAATAATGGCTTAGCACAATATCTTGTGTGTTTGGGAGATGCTCCTCAATTTGCTGCTTGTGGGGTGTCTTTGGGGTCTCCTCTCCCTCGGCATCACCCCCTCTGGTCTGGGAGCCAGGGGCAACTATGGGAATCCCGATGGGGGGGTAGACCAGGGCCACAAGGACCCCATCCCAACAGGCAGAGGAGAGGCCAAGAGTAGAGATGGTGTGCCTGGGGGGGAGGGTGCTTCTGTCTGGGAAGAGAGAGAGGGGCTCCCCCACAGACATACCTTGTGTTGTCGATCCAACAGTCACCTCCAAAAGGCAGGAACATGTTGAGGTCCAGCCAGATGGTAAAGTAATCATCAGTCTTGTGATAACACATCCAGTTCACCACATCTGGCTTGTCCAACTTCGCCTCCAGCTGATTCCCGAGGTACCCAGGCACTGCAGGGAAAAGGTCAAGGGAAAGAGGGTGTCTATTAGTGCTAAAGAGGGAGGCTGGCTGAGGCAGATCCCTTATGGTCCGGATAGCCCCGATTTGCCAAGAGCAGGGGGAAGCACCCTCTGGACATGTCCCAAAGTAGCAAGTGGCCTTGGGGGTCAGGAGCCGCCCTGTTTAAAATCGGGTGGGGACACAGGATACCAGCCTCTGTATGGGGCCTCACAGCTGTGGGAGTCATTGTCTGTTTCTGTGCCATTTCCCATGTCAAAATAGCTGCAGAGATTTGAGAGTCCATCTGCCCTTTGGGGTTTTCTTCCTCCTCCTCATTTGTTATATCTTCTCAAGGCATCCACCAGGTGTGGTCTGTGGGGTGTGGGCCATGATGGCCATAACAAAAAAGGTGGACAAAGTTTTGACAGCACCATCATGGTTGTCATCTTGACTTTTTTGGCCATACCCTGCAGACATCTATGTTACTTCATTTGACTGCATTGTATTCACCTGTTACAGACTTGCAATTAAACACTGATAATTACACATTTCAGGATTGTACAGTTTGAGAGGTACATCTGCTTAATGAACATGGTGAGCCTCCCCATCACAGCCATTTACTGCAGAAATGCCTCTGCGGGGGCCAGGAGGCATTCTGCATGCTGGAATGTCTGCCTTCTCTGTCAACCTGTTCCCTCCAGACAAACAGTGTCATGCAAACAAGGCAAAGTCCAGCAAGCGTCATTCAGGAGTCACTACTCTGTGCAAGAAGATAATCTCAGAGATCAAAGGGAGGCAGGCTGGCTGCAGGGTCACTGTGGGGCAGTGCGATTGCTCCCTTTCCCTGCCACAGAAAGGGGGATGTTGTGGGGTGGGGGGCTTTCCCCTTTCTATTGCAGCAGCAACAGCAGAGCAAAAGAGGACCACCACCAAAATGGTGGCCCTTCTTCCTTCCTCCCTCCCTCCCTCCCTCCTTCCTTCCTTCCTTCCTTCCGCCGCCCCGTCCTCGGCCAGCTCACCCAGCACCACGGGGGGCGTCCTGTTGGAGGCGGAGGCTTCCGGGGTGGTGCTGGGCGGGAAGAGCACGTTGAGGATCCAGAAGGCCCGGCCAGGCTGAAGGAGCGCCAGGACCAGGGCAGCGCTCCATCCGGCCAGGCTCCGCATCCTGCGCTGCCGAGAAGCCTCTCTGGCCCGCCCAGCGCGGGCTGGCGAAGGGCGCTCCGCTCTCTTCCCGCGGGCTGTTGGGGAAGGGGAGGAGCGGGAGGTGGGGACCCAGGCAGAGCAGCCGACAGGCTGGAGAGGACTTCGGGGGGGGGGGAGGGGAGAGGCATCTCCGGAGTTGAAGGTCTGCTTCCAAAGCCCCCTCGGGGGGGGGAGTTACGCAACCCTCAGGGGCCGATGGCCGCCTGGCCTCGTGCCGGGGGGGGGGGAATCTCGGCCGCTCGTGGATGGTAGCCAAGCACATTTGCTGAGGTGACCCTGCAGCCTTGCTCCAGTCCAGGCAGGCCGGCCTTAGAGCCTGGAAGTTGCTGAGATGGATCACTTAAGCTGGCCCATCTCCTGGCACAACCGATGGAGCAGATCCAGCTTCTGCCTCAGGCAGCATAGCTTCCCACACGTTGTTGTTTCAGGCCGCACCTCCCTTGCTGAGTAAGTGTGACAGAATTTCAGATGCTTAAAGATTTCTACTACTCAATGTGAATTGAACAATTTATCATTATAAATGGGCAACCCCTTGCCTGGGAAATAGACAACCCTGTTGTAGACCATTATGCTGTCAGACTAGAAGCTGCTTTGATGGAACCATCAGAGTCAAAGATGGAGGCAAGATGGAGAACAGATACATGGGTCTGGCTTTCAACCTCCCTCATAATATGGGCTGAATGAGATGTTAACTGACCAACTATTAATTATGGGGTTAATTTGACTGAAAATTCCCCGAAATCATGGAAGTATTATTCCAGATTTCATTCCTAAATGGATCCTACCCGCTTTATTCCAGGAGTCTTACATAGCTATTTTGAAAATGAGAAGCATCCTCTGAATTATCCAAGGTGTCATCTGATACCCTTGCAAAATGTTGAAGCTCATCTGGTACAAAATTATAGAAGGCATTACCTTTTATAAATTATCAGCACACTGGTTTCATGAAATGCCATCAAATCTCAATTAATATTAGATTATCCGAATGCTGACAATACTGCAATATGTTTTCAATATGGTGCAAGCTTTTTTATTTGAAATTAGTTACAAAATGGATTTTAATATAATTTCTTGGATAAAACAATATTTTTAATCCTTCTGCTTTTAGACGCTAATAAGATTGTCTCTTATGTAAACACAAGAAATATAGAACACACCAATGTTCCCTATCTTGTTCAATATTTAATTTAGCGTTAGAACCTTTAGCATGTTTAATGACAGTGGGGATATCCAAGGTAATTGTGTTGCAGGAATAGGATATAATTTGCTGCTTTATGGAGAAGGTATGTTCAGCCTTTTACTATTATCAGAGATCTTTACCAAGATTTGTTGAAATGGTACAGCAATACTGTTATCTGCTTTTCAAAAACTCACATCATTTTTATTTCCAAAAGTGAAATTTTCGGAATCTCTTTCAACACTATCTGAAGTTCTGGTTGCCACACTCCATAACACACACACAAAGGCCTCCTTCTCTGGTTTCCTTTGGTGGCATCTTTAGCAGGAGAATGTCTCTTCCTATCCATTAGTCCTGCTAAAGACTTTGGGTACATATTTTAAACTTTTACTTAACTAGGCCTTAAACCTTTGGAACTTCAGCTTTCCGGGACTTTCCAGGCCTACAAGAGCCAGTTTGGTGTAGCTGTTCAGGCATAAGGCTAGAAACTGGGAGACCGTGAGTTCCACAAAGAACACAAAGGCACAAAGCCAGTTGGGTGCCCCTGGGCCAATCACTTTCTCTCAGCCCCAGGAAGCAGACAATGGCAAAGAACCTAGTGAGGGAAACTCCAAGCAGGCACCAGGTCAGCACAAAATTAACAACAAACAAGAAACCCTAAGTGGTTTAGACTTCTGTGACGTTTGTCCTTCAGAAAACAGGACGGCAGGAGTCTTCCAGTTAAACAGCAATCCTGTATCACAGTGTTTCTTCATAAGGGAATTGCTCAACTCTATAGCAAGTTTTTTTGCTTGTTTTGAAAATTAATCTAGTTCTGTAATATTCTTTAACTAATTTTTGCTAAACCAAAACTTGTGCCGTATGTAAATAAGCTTATGCTCTAAATTTATATAAACCTGCTATGACGATCAGAGACCTCACTGGTGCATCCAAAACCAAGGTCCACATCAATCCCTGAATTCCAGCATGAGATGGATATGGCAGATCTCCGCAGAGCCCAGGATGCTTGAAGGCATGACCAGCTGATGGCCAAGGGAAGACAGATATTCCCCAGGTTTTAGCCTTCCTGTGGAGCAACAGGCATGGCCTCAAATGAAGCCACCCAGCTTGGGATAGTCCCTTTCCCACAACCAAAGCCTCCAACCAGAAGGAGCCCCTGGGACAATTCAGTCAAAAGGTTGACTGGTAGAGAACAGGCTAACGACATAATTCTGTTGTTTGATCTCCATGTATTAGTTTTTCCTCCAAAGGACAATTTATCATCAGAATGGGTGGTTTTCAATACAGCAGAGACTGCAGTGAGTCCAAAGCTTCTTCATTCAGCAGCCAAATGAAACGCATCTAGAACAGGGAGGCCTTTGGCTCTTCTGGTCTCAGAGGAGCCACGAAAGGCCTCTGGTCTGCGGTTCCCCCCACAAGGGAACCTTTAGTCAGAAAAGCCCTTCCGGGCTTCAGATGGAAGATCTCCCTCAAACGGCTCCTCTGGGGTGGCAGGTGGGAAGGGCAGAGGCCCTGGTGGACCAGATGAAGACCTAGGGGGGTGAACGATGGGTTCACCAGTGGGGAGGGAGGGAGATTTTTGGCTGGCCTGCAGAGCAAGGGCCTTGGGCCTGCTCAGCCAAGCTCCGTGGCACCAACCCGGGTAGAATCCTCAGCTTTTCCTCGACAAGGAGCCATAAGTTGCTTCAGGATCCAGAGTGACCATTTTATTGGGTTGGCCTTGCTTTCCCTTCAATTCCATCAATGCACCTGACACAGAACTCCAAGACCTCAGCACCCCCCCATCCATTCCTTGCCAGCAAGAAAAGAGGATAAATAGAGAGGGGGGGAGCTGCTCTTCCCCAGAAGCCTCTGGGAGAGGAGGGGAGTTTGGGCACAGGCAGGAGAGGGGAGAAACACAGAGCCTCGGGAGACTGAGTGGGGGAGACAAGTGCCCTCTTCTGCGCTCTCTGCCCAGCAAGGGCCTTCCAGGCTCCTCTTCCAGCACAGCAGGCAAAGGAGGGCAACAAGACAGCTTGGTCCATGCTGAGAAGGTGTGTTGGCCACCTAGGGACAACTCAGGTTGGGTGATAAACCTTAATATATATTATGCTAAAATACTTCAATTGCTATAAAATGCTACCCCTCTCCGAGGGTTAAGAGAGCCCCGATGTTTTGGGAAGACCCACACGCTCCTTGGCAGCCAGGACAGAGCAGGGCAGGACGGAGGAAGCAGTTGCAGCAACAGAGACTTGGCCGAAGGGCTCATCGTCCCCCACAGACCGGAGGCAGGAAGGCGGGCAGGAGCCAACCAGGCCTAACCCTGCACAGTGGGCCTCAGTCTGACTCTGCCGTGCTTGCATTTTTCCCCAGCCGGGTCCTGGGTCCAGGAGTGAGCTGGGCTTTGAAGTGGCAACCACACGCTCCCAAAATTGAAGCTGGCGGAATGAAAGAGAGCAGGCCCAGAAAGGGAGGAAGCCCGCTGCTCTGCCAGGAAGGAGAGATGGCATCCAGAGAGAAAAGGGATCAAGGCCCTCCACAGCTGCCAGCTCATCAATTGCTGCTGGTGGACACGTTGGGCAGGCGCATGACTTCCCCTGGCCTGGAGGCACCACAAAGGGGAGACAGCCAAGGCCACTTCCAAGCAGGTGGTTCTGCCGGGAAAAGTCAAGCCCGCTGCCTGCCTGGTATAAATAACCCCCCAGATGTAGTAGGCCAATTACCTTAAGTTAAACTAGGAAGCCTAAAGAGGCATGGAGAGACCCTGCATCTCCTGGAAATGCTTCTCCAAGACCTCCAGGGTCAGTGGACATCCGAAGTTCACTTTCAACTCTCAAGAGCGCAGTCTTGGCTTCCTTCCAGTTTCCACGTTCTCCAGAGCTTCCAGTTGCACCAGAGCAAGCTAAGACTTCCTCCATCAGCCCTCAGAAAGAGGGTTTGTGTGAGAAATTGTGAGTGCAGTAGAACATAAGGGGAAACCCCGGCCAAAGATGCCATGTGGATGCCGGGAGCTGCTTGGTTGGCATTCTCACACAGGAAGCCCCTCCTGAGAGAGGATGCAGGCAGCCAAGCACAGACCTTGGCAACCGGAAACTGCCGTTGCCCTGCTCTCCTGGCTCTTCTCTCTTGCAGGCCTAGATGACGTGGCAGCAGTTGAACTGCCCCAAGGACAGCAGGCTCTCCCTGGAGCTGGGCTGCATCCGGAAGGCCAGGGCCTTTTCACAGAGCGGGAACTGCAGGAGCCGATCCTTTAGGTTAGCGTTCTTGCCTTTGGCTGGATCCAGCTTGATGATGCTGTCTGCGAGGCTGTCATGGCCGCTGCCATTGCTCTGGCCATCGCAGCAGGCTTTGGCCCAGTGGGGAGGCCCCAGCTCCAGGCCCTTGCCCTCTGCTCCCGGCATCACATCGGTTCCAGGCGTTCCTGGGGTACAGCCGCCCTGCAGAAGAGCTGTGGTGCTCTGGGTCTGGGGGCTCTCCTCCCCAGCCTCCAAGAGCTCCTCCTCGACAGGATCTCCTTCCCTCAATGGAAGAAGGCCGCTCTCTTCCTCTGCCAGGAGGGGCTCAATTTGGCCAAGCTCCAGCCCTGGTCTAACAGTGCCCCCTCCCCGGCTGTCTAGTGGGGTAGCTTCCTCCGGGGGTTCAGCAGACCTTCCCCCCACTTGTAAGCTGAGGCTGCTGCCTGGCTCCTCCATCTGGGGGGCTCGGCCTGTCCCTGGCTGGCTGCTCGGGGATGCTTGCTCCAGCGGAGCTGGCGGAGCGGTCTCAGGGCAGGAGGACTTGGCCTGTGCAGGGATGAGGCTCTTCCCCGCTTTGTAGTGGGCCGCAAGGGCCCGGCAGAAGAGCAGGGACGATGACGTGGTGCTCTGGAAGCGGCTCATCTGCTCTTGGTTCAAGGAGGAGGTCCGCCGTCGAGAGAGCCCCGGCTTCCCTTCTGCCTCCTCCTCCTCCTCCTCCTCCTCCTCCTCCGAAATCTGCTGCAAGGCGAGGGTGCTCTTGGCAATGCCTGTCTCCAGGAGGCAGGGCTGGATGAGGGCTCGGAGAGGCTGCCCGCATCTGTGGAAGCTGGAAGAGGACCTGCCCTCGCTGGAGGCTGAGCGGGAGAGGAGAGGCTTCCCGGCAAACTCCGCAGCGACATTTTCCAGAGCGCTCTTGGTGGCTGGGGGCAGCTCTGTGGGCAGAGGGGGACAGGACTCAGCTGGTGGGCTCCTGAGGAGGAAGAGGGAGCAAAGAGAGGAGGTGAGCAGCTGTGAATCCCCCTGGCCCAGACCAGCGCTCGGAGGGCCAAGGGGGGCTTGCCTGCTCTGGAGCTGCTCAGCCAGGCTCTGCTTCTCCTGCTTCTCGCGCAGAATCCGTTCAGCCAGCAGAAAGTAGGTGGCAGTGATGTGATTGTAGCGCTTGGCCTCCAGGGATCTGCAGGGAGACAACAGGCGGAAAGAGTCAGGCGCAGACACAGGAAGAGGCTCTGCTCACGTTCAGGGCTGCCCAGTAACTGACTCTAAGCTCAATCAGCTGTTTGCCAGAATGCCCTTGTGCTCAATTCCTTAACAAGGGAGACTAAGATAATAATCTCATCAGTGAACCAAAGTCTGTTTCTACATGCAGCTTGATACATAAAGTCCAGCTGCCTTAATTATGGATTTCTCCCTGGGCTTGAAACACATCTGGAACATCAGCCTCATCTTAGGTACACGTGTGTGGCTTAATGACAGATAACCGGAGGACATGGGGGAGACTGAGCATCTTAATTTATTTTGTGGCTATGTCCCCTGAGGTCACGTCCAACTTATTCACTGTTGGATTCTATTCTTCAGGAACCTGACCCTTTGGGATTGGTTCTTCTGTTGCAGGCCACAGTTCTGGGATCACAGGTTTGGGTAAGCTGTGTGCCATGTTTTAAGCCAGGAATGGGGAACCCATGGCCGTCCAGAAGCTGCTGAGCTGGAATCCACAGCATGCCATACCATTAACCAGGGAGGCTATAGTTCACCAACACCTTACATGGCTACAGATTCACTTTTTCCTCTATAGGCAACTGGGAATATAGGCTTTACCTAACCAGGTAGTCCTTGCTTAACAGTAATGAGGAATGGAACGTCTATCAGCCAGCAGTATAGTTGTAAAGCATGATCTCATGTGACCACATTGCTTAAGCCATGGCAATCTTGCAGCCTCTGTGGCAATCCTTAAGCAAGGATCATGGCTGGTATGAATGTGTGTTGTCGCTGGGTGGGGGATTATTATTTTATTATGTTTATTTCTTTTATATTGTGCTTTTATGTCTTGTAAGCCACCTTGGGTCACCATGTGCAAGTAGGCGACAATATAAAATTTTCTGAATAAATAAAAATCATGGGTCATTAAGTGAGAAACTCATGTAACCACGAGGACTTGCAACTTCCAGCCGACTTTCCACAAGCAAAATCATTGGGGAAGCCCGTGGGGAGTTACGAGTCCCGGTGGCTTGTGAGTATGCTGGAGGGTGAGTGAGTACTGTGGAGTAAGGCAGGGCGATACTGTGGAAAATGCAGGCAGTCTGGGGAGGGGTTCCACGGCACGAGTGCGCGCATGAATTATCTGGGATCTTGTACTCCGTAGCACGGCTCCTCGGGGGGGAAAGCAGTGGGAGCAACTTGCAATCTTCTCTGCCAGCTTCTCCATTGATTTTGCTTGTAGGAAGCTGGCAGAGAATGTCACGAATGGCAATCATGTAAATGCAGGGATGCCGGGACAGCTAGAATTTCTAGGACTGGTCTTAAGTATCACTTGTTTAGCACCACTGCAACTTCAAATGGTCATTAAATGAACGGTCATTAATCAAGGATTGCCTCTGTCTCAATTTATGTCCACGTCTAAACTTTGACTGAAGTTCCACAGAAGTCAGAAGTTCTTGGGCGTCGTCAGAAGCCACTTTCAACCTCTGAGCATTAAGGAAGCCCCCAAACATCTACCTGATCATTTCAGCTAGCAAAGCTCTGTCCCAACCAACTGACGGTCAGCTTGGATGGTCCAGTGGCCCTGATACCTGTGCCCAAATCACAACCCCCCCTCGCACAACCTTCCTTAACCAATGGAGCAATTTATCCTGATGCCCACCCCAGAGCCCCACTCACTCCTCGATGGTTTCTCGGTCTGCAATGTGGCCACACATCATGGTCTGGATGATGGTCTCGTGCTCCTCCGCCAAAACCCTCCTGTGCGATGTCAGCGGCAGAAGAGAGCGGCTGGCTGGGGAGGGGTCCACCCCCTGGAGCCACGGGTGGTTTTCAATTAGCTCCAAGGACGCTCTTTGCTTGGGGTCCCGTTGCAGCATCTGGGCAATAAGGCTGTGCAAAGAAGGGCAAGAGTGACTCAGCCGCTGCCCCCCAAGGCCCTGCTCTCCCCCCTCCCAGTCCATGTCTCTTCAGGGACCCCAAGCAGAAGACAGAGCTGAGGTGAAATGGGGCCTTGGAAAGGCATTACAAGCACCTGGAGCCCAGCAGGGGACGCCGACTCCTTGTTCCGGGGCCACTGATGTTTCTTTGCTCAGCAGAAAGTGTGGCTCAAAAGCCTCCGGGGGAGCCCTCGGCCAGGCAATCTCAGGGGAGATCCGTTCCCTCAACCATCAGGCCAGAACAAAAACAGTGACCGGCCTCGTGCACTTGCAGTTTGCCCAGACTCCAGACTCCGTGGCCAAACTTTGGCCTGTGTTCCGGTCCAACCTTTTCTCCCATGGAGAAAAAGAGGGCAGAGGGGAGGACAAAGAAGGGCAGGAGAGGCGCTGTGTTCCCAGGCAATCCTTCCCTCCAAGTGCTCAAGGATGAAAACAAAGTGGTGCCAACTGCTTCCTTTCTGATGTAGATCAAGGGGCCCTTTGTACAAACTAGCCACCTCATGGCTTGACTACTGCAACACACTCTACCTAAGGCTGCCTTGAAGACCACCTGGAAACGTCAACTGGTCCAGGACACAGGAGGACACGCATGCCTCAGTATTTTTAATTATGTATTTATTTATGTACCATGTTTCCCCGAAAATAAGACCGGGTCTTATATTACTTTTTGCCCCCCAAAAGCAAAATAGTGCTTATTTTCTAGTTAGGTCTTATTTTGGGGGAAATTACAGTACTAAATGCCTCTGTCTGGCTGACGATCTAGTCATCCCCCACAAAGCCCTACCTGGCCAAGGGCCTGGCTACTGCCCATCTTCCTGGCTGACGTGAGCCCTCAGAGTGGGGCACGTGTCGGATTCCTTCGTATCACCTCTTGGGACTCTGAGAGGGTCCCTTCTCTGTCACACTGCCTGCCCTCCGCCATGAGTCCTGCCACCTGTGACCTGGAGGGCTCCTGTCTGCTCCAGTTACGAGGAACCACGAAGACCCACCTCTTCCCCATGTCCCCTGGCCTCATTCCATCCCATGCTATGCTTGCCATCTTTTTTTCCTGCTTTTTAATTGGATTTATTGTAACTTCTTTGATAGTTGTGAATCACCCAAAGTGGTGGTGGGGGGGCTGAAATGTAACAGTAAATAAATAATAAATAAAACAATAATTAGCACCATCTGGGGGTTTCCTGCTGACGCCCACACGACTCCGTGCTATGAATACCACAGGCAGGGAGTTGGAGGCTGCTTCCTAAGGAACAAGGCAGTGACAAAGAGGGAGGAAATGGGGAGGGGGCTCCTACTCTGCACACAGGATGGAGATGCCCGATGGTATCACATAGCGACAGTCCAGGATCATGGTCAGGGTCTCGCTGTCGTTGGCCTCCTGGAAAGGGGGATGTCCACAGACCAGCATATAAAGGATGACACCCAAGCTCCAGATATCTAAGAGAGAAGACAAAGAGGAAACTCAGCTGAAGAGAGGCCCTGTCCGTGCTCTGGGCTCAGCCCTCCAACACGCCTCTCTTCTTGCCCTTCACAGTTCCCTGCTGCAAAAGGACCCCACTGCCCCAGAGTCATCGAATCAAACCCTCTTATTCCGCTGACTTCAAATGCAAACTCGGTTCTGCCAGGGATTCGGCTGATGTCCTGTTTGTATGCCAGTTAAATCCTCCAAACCACCAATGTTACAAAGGGCTTAACAGCATCCCAGATAATTTGCCCCACTTGATTCGCTTTTAGCCAGACTCACCTAACTAAATAGAATAAATGATACCTGGCTGAACAATAGAAACTCTGAGAGGGACCTAGGAGTCCTGGTGGGCTATCATTAGAAATAACACATCATGTCAACCTTGATCAAATAAACCAATGTTATATTCCTTCCTTTCACTTCTAACAATCTTTAGTCCATTAAACTAATATTGTAGAACTTGATTTCTTTTCTCTTTTTTTGTCCCTTCTCATAAAATTCTTCAAAGCTTTAACAAGCCTCTTTTGTAAATCCAATGTAGGAAAATTATCCAGGTCACTTTCTCGGTTTGTTATTTATATATCCATTTTAATTATTGTCATCAGCCAGTTTCTTTTTTGTGTCCAGTGTAACATCTTTTTCCATATCATATTTAAGAATATTTTTGAACAATGAATTCATACATTAACTGTAATAGCATCAACAGAGCCATCTCCCATTAGGGAGAGACTGTATCTAAAGGGTGTTATAGAAGAGGAACAGGTTCTGCCTGACAAGATTGAGACAGAGTTGAAAGGGGATTTAAAAATGACAGACTGCAAGAATGACATGGGAAAGGTATTTATCTCCGGAAGAATTATGTGGGTTCCACCTTGGGAAAAAATCATCGGGAATAATATTTAGTTTCTAACTAATTCCTCAACTATCCAGATAGAGTGATCATATGTACATGCTGCAAATCCTTCAAGGCTCCAGCAGCTCACAAGGGTAATATCCATGGTAAACTCTAACCCCCACCCCTAATATGGGAACTAAACTAAGTAACAGGGCAGAACTGCTAGTGGAATCCCCTCCGCAGATGGAGGGCCTCGTCAAGGAGCCAGTCTCTCCTGTCTAAAATAGAAAAGAAAATCTGCTGAAATCTGCCCACAGATCTTGCAAGCAAGCAAGCAAGGGACCACTCTGACAGAAGGGCTCTAAAGCATTTCCTTGTTCATTGTCACAGAATGGATCTAAAAGAAATGGGAAAGGGAGGCACAAGGAGTGATGGGCAAGCATGGAAGGGACTGGGGAAGATGGAGAGTTAAACTGATTTTAGCAATTAGGGAAGGGAGGAGAAACTTCTAGTCATCTTAAAATGTTCAGAAAGGAAGGCTAGCTAGCTCTGTCCTGCTTCTCCATAAGGTTTTTCCCACTGAACAGTTGCAACCCAAAGAAATTCCCACATGGAAGCTGCTCGACCATCATTGCTGAGGAAGGGGCACCAGGCTATCCATCAGCCAGGCAGCCCCCCTGCACGCGGGTCGGAACCAGCTTTAGGCCTTCGGAACTTCTCTGGCTCGCTCGGAATGTTGCTTGTGGTCAAGAAGCCAGAAGAGAAATTCTTTCTAGCCTGAGACAAGCCAGCCCAGCAAGTCACTCCAGGCGCCCCCCCCCCGGAACTGCCCGCCACCCCATCCCAGGAGATGCCTTGCAATTCCCCGGAGCCTGGCCGGGCCAAGGCCAGGGTGGACGCCCGCGGGTCAGCCGACATCCTGCCGGGGCCCGCGCCCTCCGCTCGGCCCGGCCTGCAGGCGTCGCGCTGCCCCTCCTCCGTTGCGCAGCGGGAGTGCCCGGGACCCCCGTCCCTCGCGGGGCCCCAACCGACCCGGGCGCGCCGGCCCTTACCCACGGCGGGGGCGTCGTACTCCTCGCCCAGCAGGATCTCGGGGGCCGAGTAGGCCAGGGAGCCGCAGCTGGTGGCCAGCATGGTGCCCGGCTGGAAGCAGCTGCTGAAGCCGAAGTCGGTGAGCTTGACCACCCCTTGCCGCTGGAAGAAGAGCACGTTCTCGGGCTTGAGGTCGCGGTGCACCACGTGCAGCCGGTGGCAGTAGGCGATGGCGTGCACCACCTGGGCGAAGTAGCCCTTGGCCCGCGCCTCCGCCAGACCGCCCGGGCGCCGCGTGAGCAGGTCGAAGAGGTCCCCGCCGTCGCCCAGCTCCAGCACCAGGTAGAGCCGGGCCGGCGTCTCCAGCACCTGGTAGAGGCGCACCACGTTGGGGTGCTGCACCAGCTTCATGCAGCCCACCTCGCGCCGCAGCCGCGCCGCCGCCGCGCCGCCCAGCCGGCCCTTCTCGATCACCTTGACGGCCACGCGCTCGCCCGTGAAGACGTGCCGGGCCAGCCGCACCTCCGCGAAGTGGCCGCTGCCCAGCCGGCGCCCCAGGTCGTACAGCCCCGCCATCTGCCCCTCCATCGCTCGGGGCCGCCGCCGCCACGGCCCGAGCCCGGAGCCGCGAGGGGCCCGGCACTCCTGCCCGCCTCGGTGCGGGCCTAGCGGCTGGGTAGCGCTGCTCCGGCGGCCGGCGACTCGAGCTCGGGCGGCGGCGAGGCCGGAGCGGGCGGCGCTTCTCCCGGGGCAGGACAGAAGGCGGGCGCGGGATCGGCTCCGCCGGAACATCTCCCCCCGCGAGCGCGGAGCTGCTTCTCGTGACACGGAGCGCTCCCGGGCATTTAAAGGGACCTTTTCCAACGTCTCCTCCAGCCGCTCTAAGTAAGAAGACAAAGGCGCTCGCTTTGGACCGACGACTCGTTGCCGTTACAAACGGACCGGTCCCCGGATCTTGCACATTAGGGAGCCTTTACCCGAACTGTGAACATTACCCGTGTCTTTGGGAAACCCGGGTCTTTTCTGATTCAATGCGGCTAGACTTTATCCATCCCTCCTTTTATTAAAGGAGAAACTGAGGTTCTTTGGTCAGGCAATTTGGCCTGCATCTTTCACATCCTTGCTGTGTTCTGACAGCTCGTTTTACATGTTGTTTTTTTCTTTAATAAGGTGCCCAAGTGGGGTCCCAGCAACCATATACTAGGGGTCTTGATTTTTGGCCACCAGAGACCCAAAGGCTCTCCTCCTGCAGTCTAGAGGGAATTGGGTGGGCTGCAATCTTTGCCCAGTAATGGATCCTCATCAGACTGAAGACAAGCAACTCTTCAGTGACTTGAACAAAGATGCAGGGGCAATATTTACCAAATCTTCAGGTTATAAAAAATGGAAAGAGTTAATTCCCTAGAAGAAACACAATTCTGAATGATCAAGATTGGGTGGAGAAATGGGTTGAAAATCCCACAGAGCGAAATTTAATACAGTGCAAATTGCTTCGCTTAAAAAATGTCAAATACACAGTGGGGAAAATATGCTAGTTGATGGTAAATTGAAGTGGGTTGTGATTATAAAAAAAGGAAAAATGGAATTTTAGGCTGCCTCAACAGAAATATGAACTCCAAAATCACTAGAAGTAATTCTTTCACTCAAAGGACTAGCCTTATCTCTAGTGAATCCATTTGGGAGGTTTTAAGAAGCATTCAAGAAGCTGGAATGGGTTTATTAAAAAGCAAAGAGATCAGGAGAGGTAGAAGGAACTGGGAATATTTTGTCTTGCAGACTGGGAGAGGCATGATGGCTCTTTTGAGACACCCACAAGAATTCATGTGCTTGAGGTCCTCTCTCATTCGAGGGTGGAGGCATAGCTGAGGCTTCCAAAGAGAAAGAGCCCTTCAGGAGTGGAGCTGATGGCCCAGAGACAGCCCTGCAGGACAAACCCCACCTGCTTAGCTCAGAATGACCCAGCCCAGGGAGGTGGTCAAGTATGGGTCTGTTGCAAATATTTTAATTCGGAATCCTGGTCTGGATAGGGGGCTGCACCCAAAGTGGAGTTTTCTGATTCTAGGAACAGAGACGTTAAGCTAAAGAAAATGGATTTCATTCCCTCCCCTCCCCAAGCAATTCACAATGCTCCAAGGGTTGTACACAGGCCTTTCTAGCCAACAGCCAAACAGTGATAAACCTTGAGGTCTCTCCTTGCAGCAGGAAAGCAAGGCAGCAGCTGCTGGCAGGCCGGCCGGCCGTTTGGGATGATAAACCAAGAGAATTGCTGGACGCAGCACCTCTCATCGGAAGGAAACTTTTGCTCAGGGTCAACAACATTAGTTTTATTTCTGGCGTCGGTTTCCCATCCCTGCATTGTTTGTTTTTTTTGGAGGGGGGGAGAACAGCATGTTGACTGTGCACCTTAATGGCTGTTTGGGAGTTTCTGGTTTCCTGGAAGCGAGTTTTCGTGTTGCCCTTTATTGAATGTCAGGGCCAGAACATCCGTGCGACGCCTCGCTTGCAGATTAAAAAGCTTTCAGCGCAATTGCTGCGCGTGGGCGGGAGCCGCGTTCTCTGAGCGGCCGGGCTAATGGCTTCCCTTCCGCCCAGCTGAGCCGTCCTGTTTACCGGCTCGCGCTCTTGGGCAAACAGCCCCAGGCTTCCAGCTCTCCTGCAGGCCCGGCTGAGCTCACCCGCCCCTCTCCCAGCGGGGTTCACTGGCAACAAAGGCCGCTGGCCTCTCGCAGAAACCACGCAGGCCCCACCGAGGGCTTAAGGCGCCGTTTCTCAGCCTTGGGAATCTTAAGATCCGGGGACTTCAACTCCCAGAATTCTCCAGCCGATCGGTCCACTGGACTTAAGGTCCCCGAGTCGGGGGTCCCGCTGGGCTCCCTGGCAACGGAGGAGTAGGCGGCCGTGAGCCGGGCGGCCCGCTCTGCCCTCCTCCCGCAGTCCGCGCAGGGCGCCAGGCCCGCCTCCGCCCGCGGGGCTCTTTCGGGCGCCGCGTTTTCCCGGAAAGGCCCCGCGGCGCCCATTAGCGCCTTGATTGGCCGAGGCGAGGCCGGGCGGAGGGAGGGAGCCGCTCTCCGCGGCGGGGGCGGCGGAAGGCGCTTCCCGGAACGGCCCGGACGGCGCTGCCCAGCTGGCTCTCTCGAGCGGACCCGGCGCTTCTGCGGCTCCCTCCGGCTCTGCTCGGGGCGCTTCTTCCGGGATGCCGCTAAGCGAAGAGCCGGTCGGGGCCCGGAGAGCTGCGGGGCGGATGCTGGGCTCGGCCGGGCCCGCCAGGCGGGCTCCTCCTCGGCGCTGCTTGGATAGCACCGCAGCTCTTCGGCTTTGCCTGCCACCCCACCCCCCCGCCTGCCCCGAGGCCGAGGCTGGTGAGGCCCCGGCCCGCCCTTCGGCTAAAAGCTAAAGTTGGCCTAATCCTGTTAACCCCCCTGCCCCCTTTGCTGCCCGAAGCCCGCGTGGCCCCCAAGTTCCACCAATTCTTGTTTGTGAACTTTATTAAACGCCTTTTCATTTAAGCCAAATCCTCTCAACGTCTAGAATGACCTTTAGGTGGTTCTACTGACCGCCCAGGTAGGGAGCGTCCCTGTGCTCGTGCAGCATGGACACCCTCAAGGGGTCACAGCCCCCCTGCATAGCCCACGCCCAGAGCTGCCAGGGCCCCTTGGCTGCCTTCCCTGCACTAAGTGAGTCCCCCCATCCCGCAACAGCCAGGCCACCTGGGCGGATGTGTTTTGCCAGGGGTGATCGTCTTCCCGGTCTCCTCCCCTTCTCAGCACCCCCCCTCCGTCCAGCTCCCCCTGACGAACTTCATCCAGAGTAGCCCCTCCAGAGTCTGGGGCCTTAAGCCCAGATCAGGCACTGGGAACATCTCTTTTTAAAAACACAGGACCACAGTTCCCAGGACAGGGGTGGCCCTATGAGCAAAGGCAAAGGCTCTCTCTCTCTGGCACAGCCCCTAAGCCAGAGGGGGCAAAGCCCAGCAGAGGATCCTGCCCGCCATGGTCTTATGTGACCAAAAAGAGGCTCCTGCCACGACCTCCTCATGGCCAGCAGCCTTACTGATATGCTGAGGATTCCCATGGGATGAGATGTGGGTCAGGGTGAGAGAAACCACCCTGTCAAGAAGGGAGCATCTGAGTTCAGGTTGCCCCACAGGCTTTCCCAATGGAGCCCCCCCCCAAAACACCCTTTGTGAGGTTTCCTTTGTTGCAATAAGCAAGATGGGCAGCAATCCATTTGCAAAGGATGGACACTTGTTTCTGAATTCTGGTGCAGAATTGGGCTGCTTCTGTTTGATTGCCTTCCTTAGAGAGAACATTCTCTGAAATGGTAAATCCTCTTTCCTCACCGGCTGAATTGTCATCACTAATCCTGCAATGGCTTCTTGATGCCTTTGCTACAAATACATTCCAGGTTCTTCTGGAGCAGGAACAGAGATATATGACAAATATTGCAGAATATGACTGCTGATTCCTACCTGTTCTCTTCCATTTCTCAAAGTATCTCCAGAAGAAAGGTTTGCATTTTCTCTCATTTTTAAGCATAGATTTGCTAGGTAATCTAAATAAATCTCTTGACTTAAAAGCAAAATTTCTTTGAAATTCTCCTGGTAAATTCCAATAGCTCCTTGTTTTCTCCCTCAGTTGGCCTTTAGGAATCTGTCTGCCTGTTGCAATCTCTGCTTAGTTTGCAAAGAGTAGCCAGTCACCAGGTGGGCAATCGTTGGCTATCAGCACATCAATAGAAGATGAACATGTCCCTCGCTCAGCTGAACACACAATCCCACAGTCAACCTCCAGTTAATTTAAGGGACAATTGGGGAAAGGATTGGAGTCTTCCTCACAATTATGATTAAACGATTGCCTACCATTAAGCAACCAGATGGAAATTTGACACTTAATGCAAGGAATTCTTCACTGTTTGCAGAAATCTAATAAACTGTCCTGGTTTTCAAACAGTTTGAAATATGCCTATTTGATGGTTTCATTTTATGCTATTTTCTTTTCATTTAATGGCATCCCATGCTTTCTCTCCATGCTTTACATAAAGTGCTCTTCAAGAGGCCTCTGTGCTGAAGGAATTTCTTTTTCCTAAATGGCTGAGAATTTGGTAGGACCCTCGGTGATATCCCAGGAGGAGACAAGTGTGATCTTCCTCCAGGTACCTTTAAGGAGACCACAGGAGGAGCATCAAATTTATGTTTGTTCAGAATCCCTCCCATCCATTAGGTAGCCACCATGTGCTCCAGTCAACTGATTCGAGCAATTGATATAAAGCTGTGGTCAACCAACTCCTCTGCAGAGCTACGACCTTTTGACAGAGAGGCTGGCAACCGCATCCAGGTACAGTGAACTTCCATCCCTCGTGGTAAGGCATCTGGACTGTGGCTGCACCCTGTTCCATGGATGGGAGCCACAGCCTGGGAACCGAGACTAAACTTTCTGGTGGTGGGTCAGTTCTCTTCTTTCCCTTTGGGAGAACGTCTGAAAGAGGAGCTCCAGAGGGGGGTTTGGAAGGGGCAGAAGGATGATTATGACGGGAAGATGAAGGCAGACTCCCCTCCATCATCCCTTACCTTAGCGGGGGCAGGGGAGAATGAGGATCATCCGGAGGGCTCTCTGAACCTTTTGCAAGGGGGGATAGAATGAGAGCAAGTCGAGTGATGCTTAGGCAGCTGCAAGGGGGGTCTGAAATGCTGTGGGTGAGAAAGCATTTGACAGATTGGAAAAAACCCCTAGATCTGGGACAGAGAGCTCTTGTCTATCACACTGGCACAACATTTGCTACCCTCATTGTCAGTCCCTGCTCTGGTTCTCTTGCATCTTTTCTGGAGCATCGTTCCATGGTGCTGTCTTGAGTGCTGAGTGTGCCTCTGAATGAAATGCTTATAAAAGTGCTTATGTGAATAGCAGGGAAGGAGGAGAGGGAAGGGAGGAAAAGGAAGAAAAAGAGGAGGAGGAGAAGAAAAGGAGAGAGAGAGAATTTCTACAGTGCCATTGCTCTTGTCACCAGCCAACTAGGGAATCATCTGAGTCGGCATGGTAGCAGGAATGGGGACCAACTTCCCTAAGTTAACTGTTCACTTGGGTATCCCGAAGTTCGTATCTACATCCCCAAGATGGAAGTTGGCCTTGCCACCTTTTTCTGGGCCTCTGGGGAGCAGGCAGTCAGCAGCGTCTGAAACGCATGCAGGGAAGCCTCCGCGTGTCCTTCTACCCCAGATGAAGATGTGCTGGGGGGGGGGGCTGGCCTTCAAACGGTGGAAAACTGGGAGGGGTCTGGGGGGCCAAAGGGGGGAAGTGGTGGGCCTGAACAGCAGAGCAAATGCTGCAGGGCAGGCTGGCCAGGTATCGAGGGGATGTAGCTGGGGAAGTGGAAAATACTTCCTTCACCTTTAGACTCTGCTTGGGTGTGGGATGAATAAGGGGAGGGGGGATTGCCCAGCCCTCAGCCTTTGCAGCTGAGAAGCAGAAGCTTTCCCACTCCTGAACTGATGACAAGGGGCAAGGAGGACACTGGGCATTATCCTTAAAAGTGGGAGGATTGGGGGGGAGGGACAGGAACGAAGCACAGCCCCTCTGTTGGCAGCAGCAGAGCCATCTCTCTCAACCCCAGAGATGCCCCAGGAGGGAAAGCTGAACCTCTGTAGGATGCCCCTCCTGGCACAGGTGCCCTCCAGAGCTGGCCTGATAGGGGCGAGGCTGCCCACAGCTTTAGTGTGGGAACCCCAATCTGAGACAGAGGAGGAGGCTGCTCTCCCCAGGGACAACTGAGCAGCTGACTCGTGCAGAAATAAAGCCCTGGAAAGATTTCCTCAGTTCTAGCCTAACAAACTGAACAGAACCCAATTTTGGAAAGAAGGTAAAATTAATAGGTAAAATGAATAGGGTGATGGGTAGAAGGGCATTGGGAAGGGTCTTGAATGTGTGTTTGTGCAGTGATGGATGGAGACCATGAGGTGGCAAGCTCAGCTTTCTGCTCGACTGCCACTTGGTGGTTCTGAGTGGGTCTCCCACAACCCCTGAACTCTTCTCATCCACTTGGCGTGCAGGTGACTTGCAGGGATCATGTTGAGGAGACTGCTGCTGTCCTTGGGAGTCCTACAGGTGGCCCTTGCATTCCTGGCTTCTGGCCATGGCCGCCTGGACGAGAGGGGTCCTATCCTGGAAGATACAGGCAGGCCCAGTTCCCCAGGCCTTGAGATGGTCAAGGAGGTCCACATCCCAGGTAAGTGTTTCCATAGCTTCTCCATGCAGCTTCCAGATGTTCCCATGTTTGGTTGTGAACAGAAAAAATTGATAGACATGATTCTTTACCACCCCTACCTGGATCTCTGCTGGAATTGCCTTCTGATCAACATCTGATGGGGAAGAATACAGATAGCTTCTTAAGCATTCGAAGCTAGGGATTTTAATAGTGTATTGGTTTGACGAAGAATTATTTGTTAGCTTTATTGATACTATGGGGCTTCTGAAATAAGCCTCAATCCAGTTTGGTTTCTCAAACTTCTTCAGCTGTTGGAATCTAATTTAACTTTCTTACTTTCTTTTACAGATTTTAAACAAGTGACTCTGGGAACACCAAGAGTCCAAGATGATCTTGAGCCAGAAGCCAGCATGATGGTAACCTAAATAATTTTTGACTCATTCTTTCTGCTCCTGCAAAAAGCAAATCTCCAGACAGAACTGTTGACCGTTTTCTGCTTTGATGGATAGGAACTCTTCAGGTTCCTATATACTGCAGATGCGAGAGGAGGGTCCTCCCCAGCCACGAAAGCCTTTAACCTGTAGAATTGTTTGCTATTCAGTAACCCAGGATTTGCATGCAGAAGGCCCCATTTTCTCAGGTGTGGCTAAGAAAGAGCTTGCCTTAGACTCCGGTGTCCCTTGGCCCAGCTGGGTCCACAGTCTGATGTAATCTGCCCACTTCTTATCTTTCTAAACTGGATTTCTTGCACACGTTCTGCCAATCCATCAGCTGGCAAAGTGATCAACTTTACAGAATGCCTTTTTGTAATGTTGGAATATCAACCTTTATACAAAGCAACCCCCACAGTTTAGACCAAAGTATGCATGTTTAGAGGGTCTCCATTGTATTACAGCAGAAAAAACTTGATAACCAGGTCAGTTTGCTGACTGTCTACTTGGAAGAACTCTTGTGCAACTTTAGATATGGAAGCTCCTTAAGGATTGTGTCAAACTATCTGGAAATAGGCTTTAATAAAGTATCTTAGAATAGAATAGAGCTGGAAGGGACCTTGGAAGTCTTCTAGTCCAACCCCCTGCTCAAGCAGGAGAACCTATACCATCTCAGACAAGTGACTGTCTAGCCTCTTCTTAAAAATCTCCAGTGATGGAGCGCCCACGATTTCTGGAGGCAAGCTGTTCCACTGGTTAATTGTCCTCACTGTTAGGAAGTTTCTCCTTAATTCCAGGTTGCTTCTCTCTTTGATCAGTTTCCAACCATTGTTTCTCGTCCTGCTCTCTGATGCTTTGGTGAATAATGTTAATGTCTATAAACAAGGATTGGAGATTCAATAATAAATCCTGCATTAAAATGTCACAGACTATTTTTCTGGTTTGTGCCTTCACTGAAAACACACCTTGTTATTTTTAATGTATTTTCCAGGTAAGGCCATTTTAGAACTCCTCAGACTTGCATTAAATATTGCCTTGGCTGTGACCCTCTTTGTGATCTCCTTGCAGATGTCAGCAGCACTGCAGGCCCAGGAGCGGGAAGGGCGTTCTCCACGGAGATGTGTCCGTGTCCAGGAATCCTGCCTTGGGCACAAACTGCCATGCTGTGACCCGTGTGCCACTTGCTACTGCCGCTTTTTCAACGCTAACTGCTTCTGTAAGAAATTTAGCACTTTCCCCTGTGGCAGGAACTAGTTTGCATTCTGCAGGCTGTCATTTACTAATCTTGAATAGATGTAGGGTCCATATATATTCCTTTTACATTCCAATAAATCACCTATGAGAAAGAATCCATGAAATGTGACTTTTTTTTCATTAATTGTGTTAAGTAAAACCAGAAAGCTAAAAGCTTTAGCTTCAACTGTTTATATTCTCTAAGTAAGATGTGTGCCGTTGTGCCCACAGTAAAAAAATGACAATAAAGGTTATCTTATCTCTTATCTTTTCACCCAACCTCAATCAAAACAGTGTAACAGGGTCTCCAGCCTCTCATCTTATTTCCACCATTTCCATAATCTGACTTTAACCTTATTGCCCAAACTTGTCCCTACTTTCCATGGATTTCTGTTTTCCAGATTCCAATAAGGTGTTCAGTTTCTTTTATTTACAAAATTATCCCTTTGCCTCAATTCAGCAGGCAGGAGCCAAGCTGCCTCTGGTCTCCTCTAATGAGAGTGATATTCCCTATTCTGCAAACAGAACTGAAAAAATATAGGGAATTGACTCAAAAACGGATCTCATACATGTTATGTGCTCCTGGCTACTTTCCTTCGTGGCCAGAGGCGAGCTCGCCTGACCAATAACCAGCCAAGACCCAGTGAAGGCCTTTTGTTTCGTTTACTGCAATAAGCGGGAAGAGAAGCTATCAAAGCTTGGTTCTCTCCAAAGATTCAACCCAAAATATTCCCTTCTTTATACAGCCCTGTCCCGGACACCACATCCCTCCTCTTTCCCCATTGGCTGAGGCACTCTTTCCAACCGCCTCCTACCTATTTCCTGTTACATACTAAATCATACATGACATGTACATTAAAATTAGGAGATAATTTTTGCAAGGTGTGTCAGTTAATATTAATCAACTAATTGCACATGCTCAGTTGTCTGAGTTCTGGGTTCCCCTTTTTTATGACTTCTTAGAAAAATAAGTTCTTTCCAGTTTTGCTAGTTATCTCCTCTTACAGCTCCTTTTCCCATTCTGAAGACCTAGATAACAATTTTGCCTATGTGTTTCACTTACATCCTCCCTTTATGCTATCCTTTCCTGGTTCCCATCCATTGTAGTTTCTTTGGTAAACTCGTTTCTCCACTCAGTAAGTTTCCACTGCAGCAAATTCAATTTTAAATTTCTCTTTCAATATTGAATTTTGAAGACCTTTCACTTATTCCTATCATACATGTGAAAAATATAGTAACACCCATGAGAATGGTTAACAATATAAAGCAGAGAATAAAAAACAAATGTGAAAATGACTCAAAGAGTGTCTCTGGAGAACTTGTCCTACCTAGGTATATTACAGGTAGTCCTTGACTTACAGCCACAGTTGAGACCAAAATGTATGTTGCTAAGTGAGACATTTGTTAAGTTTTGCCCCATTTTACGATGTTTCTTGCCACATTTGTTAAGTGAATCACTGCAGTTGTTAAATTAGTAACACCGTCATTAAGTGAATCTGGCTTTCCCACCGACTTTGTTTTTGCCAGGTCACAAAAGGGGATCACATGACACTGAGACCCTGCAACCATCATAAATATCGAACCAGTTGCCAAGCATGGGGATGCTGCAACGGTCTAAGGGTGATAAATGGTCATGTCATTTTTTCAGTGCTGTTGTAACTTTGAATGAACTGTTGTAAGTCGAGGACTGCATCTGCCAGCCCATTTGTCCGGAATGGGTCGGGGTCTCTCCTGCCTGAGCAGGGTTCGGGCTCCCTTGCAGCTCTCCGATTCTGTCAGCTTCTAATTCATGTCCCAGGAACGGAACCGACCCCCTCTCGAGAGCCCCATCCGTCCGACGGCCAGACCCTGCCCGGGCTCGCCCGATACCGCCCGCCCCCCCGAAGACGGGCGCTCTGGTGGCGCCGGAAACCGCTCCTCCGTGCGTCTCTATGGCCGCGGCGGCGGAAGTGCTGAGCGTCACGGGACAGACCGGGCTCCGCCGCCGCCGCCGCCGCCATGCTGCTCTCCTGCTTCCCAGAGCTCTACTTTAACGTGGACAGCGGCTACCTGGAGGGCCTGGTGCGCGGCTTCAAGGCCGGGGTGCTCAGTCAGGCCGACTACGTCAACCTGGTCCAGTGCGAGAGCCTGGAAGGTGGGTGGCGCGGTGGCGGCGGCGGCGGACCTCCCTCCATCTCGGGCCTCGCCGCTCCCCCCTCACGACGCCGAGACCGGCGCGCAGCCCCCCCCCCGGGCTTCGGAGACGCACCGCTCCTTCTGCGGACGCCCCGCCGGGGCTGCTCCCGCCCGCTTTCGGGGAGCCGGGGCTGCGGAGCCGAGGCGGCCGAGGCCCTGGGCCGCCCTCGCCCAGCTGCGCGGCGATGCAGGGTGGTCAGCAGGGATGCGGCGCCGAGCGCCGGGGCGGGAAAAGGCGGAAGCCGCGGCCTTCCCTCCTCGGGCCCTGCGCGCCCTGGCGTGGCTGTTCGCTGGCCGGAGGAAAAGTGGGCGCTTTGGTAAAACCAGAGGAGGCGCCTGACGTTCTCTTGGGAGCGGCAGCTGCGGCTTTTTAATTACTGAAAATGTGAAATACAAGCTTTCTTGTTTAAGGCAGGTTTTATTAATTTCTGAATTTATATCTCATCTTTCACTCGAAGCCGCTTAAAAGCTTTAAAAACACAGAACAAATTAAAAAATTGAAATCTTTAAAAGTTAGCAGAGGAGAAGCACTTTTACCATTTTCTGAAATTGTGGGAGCGAAATCCGTTTCTCTGGAAACCGCACAGGAGTAGCCCCTTTCTTGCATCGCCTCCGCTTGGCAGCAGGGCCTGGGCAGCCTTTCCTACCCACCAGGGTTCCTTGTGGGAGAGGGGAGGCTGCAGGCTGCCAGCTCATTAATTTGTTTAACACTTAAAAATTGTGCAGGGAGATGGTCCCTCTGTCTTGTGTCAGTGGCCTGGCTGCTTCATTCTGCACCTGTCCTAATTTCTGGATATTTCTCAAGAGTGAAGTGCAAAGTGCCTTGCAGGACGTGTAACCAAGGCAGAGGGAACCCTTGCTAATTTGGCTTTTGGCATTCTAGTTGCAATTATATCAACTCTTTCAAATCCAGCAACAGCTGAGCGATCCCAACTGCAACTAAGCTTTTTGGGGAATAGAAGCACGTCATCCAGACCAAGTTAAGAGCATCCCCATCCTCTTTGGCCTCTTTAGCCATAAACCAGAGCCTCGAGCAGGCTGCCCTTTCATTCCCGAGAGCTGTTTTCAGCTGCTGCATCAGGAATTATCTCTAGCCTACAGTGGAAACTATTGTTAGTGATTGCCAAGCGTCTTCCATCAATTTTCATGCCTGAATTTTTTCTTTTAATTTTTCAGATTTGAAGCTTCATCTCCAGAGTACAGACTATGGGAACTTCCTGGCAAATGAGGCCTCTCCTCTCACCGTCTCTGTCATTGATGACAAACTGAAGGAGAAGATGGTTGTGGAGTTCCGCCACATGCGGAATCACGCTTACGAGCCTTTGGCCAGCTTCCTGGATTTCATCACGTAAGTCTGAATCTGCAGGGCAAAAGAACCCTGGGAATCTGGCTGGCACAAGTCTGCCAGGTAGATTTTGTGGAAACACAGCACGCTTTGTTTTCATTTATACGGAAAGCTTTGAGCGATGTCAAAGGACTTCTAGAGTCTTTCATACCTCACGCTTACAAATTGTTTATGGCAAATTGTGTCCTAAGATCACAACCCCTTATTCTAGCCTTGAATTTCTGTGTTGGATTCATTAGAAGCTGAAGGGAATTTTGTGGCGATTCCAGTTTAAGGGGGCTTAAACTGTCCAAAATGGAGCATTTGGTATTTAACTGTAAATGTTCTGCAAAGTCAGAAATGAATGAAAGGACGTTAGGATGATGAGACCAGATACCAAATCTTGTGGACAGGAATTAAAAATGCTGGCTTGTTTAGTCTTGAGAAAAGGAGCCATGGGGGAATTGATATAGGATGTATGAGTTGGAAGGGACATTATAGGTTTGATTTTCTGGTCACTTCAGGAATCCGCTAAGCTATTCCTGACAGATGGTCATCTTGCAAAAAGAATCCACTTCTGTCCTGAGCTCTTAGTAGCTCTTACGATATCTACAGGTAGCCCTGTAGATTGTAGAGAAAGAGATTGCAAGAAAGCAAGGTGTTTCCCGCTGCCAGCACGATCGCATTTTTCTCTACGTGTAGAAGAGCAAACAGTTTACTTTTTTGAAATCTCTACGTCTCCAGTCTCTGCTCTGGAGGGGGTGGGCCAAGTACGTAATTTCTGTAGACAATTTCTCCCTTCTTGACTATTTCCTGCTGCCAAAGGGTGAGGGAGTGGTTAGGAGGCAAACAAAAGGGAAAATATGAAAATGACTAGTCTTGTCTCTGCATCCACTGCATGCACTCATGTGATTTCTCATTTAGCGACCACTTTGCTTAATGGCAAAGTTGCCCATCCCAGTTACAATAATTAAGTATGGACTATGTGTATATTTAAAACAGTTTAATAATAACATTCAGTTGTTAATTTCAGTCCATTGGTCCTTGTTCTGCCTCCTGTTTAAACAGAAAATAAGTCTATCCCCTCATGGAAATTGTAAAATGTTTTTTTTTTAGATTCAGAAGTGTGTAGATTTTTATTTTATCTCCCCTCTTTGAAACATAAACATGCCCAGACAGTTTATCTATTTCTCATCAGTTTGCTTTCCAGGTCTGTTATCATTCTAAACCCAATCCAGTTTCTCCATGTCCTGTTGACTTGCCAGGCCCACCACCGGACACAGCTTAAGTGGCACAGTTCTTTCCTGGGTGCAACACATTGACCTGTCTGGCTGCCATACCAGGTTGCTTTCCCCTATAGTGACACTCCTCAGGGAGACCATGATCACTTTCTGTTGTTTAGTGGAAGACAGAGTAATGTTGACTGTTGGGTGGGGAGGGAAAACCAACTTTCTACAGCAATTCAGTGATAGAAACATTGGCACAAAGAATTCATGAGTTTCATTGAAGGTAGAGCAGTGCATCTCAATCTTGGTGAATTTAAGTTGTATGGATTTGAACTCCCAGAGTTCCCCAGTCAGCATGCTGGGAGTCCAGGTCCCTGCAACTTAAAAGTCACCAAAGTTGAGAAACGCTTAAGTAGAAGCTAGAGAACCATCTCTTGGTTAATATGATTCCTGCATAGAGCACAGGATTCAACTTGAGAGCCTCTGTGACCCCCTTGTACTCCAAGGGTCCCGTCCATACTTGAGTGTGGAAGGTTGAAAGAGCCACAGAGAACTGAATCCCATCATCTCTCTCGTCCCCAATCCACACGTTCATAGGCAGAGGGAGAGGTTTGTTCCCTTTTTGCTATCTTCCACTAGAGGGCCTGGGAGCCCCTTTGGGTGGCGATTTGCTGTGGTAAGTGAAGTCTGGGTCTGAGAAGGTGGCTTCTTGTAGGCATCTCTTAAGAAAGCCTCTGGGCACTGGAGGTCCAGATCTCCTGGGGAAGCTGGTGAGTGCAAAATGGCCACTGGCTCCAGGCAGAGAAATGTTGGGCTGATTTTTTTGGGATGGTAACATCTATTTTAAGCATTCCTGACTACCTGGATGGATGACTCAAAAGTCACTTACTGAGGAACTGAACAGAAAGAATATGATGATAGAATTCTATAGACAAGTGAGAAAGGGGAAGACAAGTGTGACAGCCAGTGCTTTTAATCACTGAGTCCTGATTTTATAATGAGAGTTAAAAGGCCAAAAATGTGTAAGAGGACTCAGCATATGGGATGAAATCTTGAGTTGAGCCCTGGCAGACAATGGAAACATTGACAGCCCTGACCAGAAGCTGGGCCTGGTTGCTTTCAGGATTGTTTGGGATACAGCAGAGAACTTGAAATCCTTTCCTGGCCCCCCAAATCTTCTGGGTTCACGCCTCTTGCTTCAGAACACCCTGTACTCTGGCATCTTTGCTGTTCTGCCCAGGTGAGGGCTTCAGGAGCACATGGATGCGCTGCGTGCCCTGGCCCTGGCCTCTGCGGTGGGGTTGAGGGCATCCAGGGCAGGCTTGATCAGTCCTGCTTCCCAGTCTTAAAGGGGGCTTTTCTGCATGCTCCACTCGGGAGAGAAATCTTTTTACCTTTTTATGATGAAAGATCTGTAGTGAAACAAACATCACTTGGAGCAAATGGGTTTTATAGCTTTTTGAGAAGTTTCTTGGAGTGAAGCAGCCTTGGTCTATTTCCACCTCTCTGCAGGGGCTTTCAGACTCTTGCCCTCCTCCTGGTGCTGTGTCTCTATGCTTCAGCCTGCTTCTGAGTACAAAAGGAATGCCCTCCCTGGAGAGGACCTGTCATTTCCTTGTGTTTGCTCTGGCTGGGCTGCGAGTGACTGACCCGGGCCACCCGGTAAACGTCTGTGCCCGAGGACAGACTTGGATCTGGGTCTTCGTAGCTCTAAACCTGGGGTAGGCAACCTTGGCTCTCCCGGAATTCTGGGAGTTGAAGTCCACGAGTCATAAAAGAGTCAGGGTTGCCCACCCCTGCTCTAATCCAATGCCTTTGCCTCCAATTCTGACCACTGACTCTCTGCTCATCAGGGTCTTCCGCATCAGCTGAGATTTTGGGGATGAGTTTAAACTTGTTTCTTGCAAGGTAGCAGGTTTGAAGTCATAACTTTCCCAAATAGCAGAAGCCCCAGTCCATGGTCTACTCCACACTTATGTGGTGTTGCGGTTGAGAAACCCCCTTGAAGCTTTTTCGGGAATGTATGTGTGGATTGACGAGGCCCTGCGGATAGTGACAGGACCTCCACTGTTCTTTTCACCCACAGCCCAGCCTGGTGGCACGAACCTAGTCAGAGAGAGGGTGGGAGAGGGGCTGCTTGCTGTCCTAGCCCTGCTGTCACTGCTTTCTTTCAGCTACAGCTACATGATTGATAATGTCATTCTGCTGATTACTGGGACGCTCCATCAACGCTCCATCGCAGAACTGGTACCCAAATGCCATCCCTTGGGCAGCTTTGAGCAGATGGAGGCTGTGAATATTGCCCAGACACCAGCTGAGCTATACAATGCCATCCTGGTGGACACGCCTCTTGGTAAGATAAGAGGGTGGCGCTTTAGTGGGAAGGCCACTGAATGGGGTCTCAGTCCTGGGTGGGCAGAAAAACTGGCTTGCCAAGCTTGATCGTTGGCCTGAGTCTTTATGGAAAGCATCAGGGCCTGCTTGGTGAGGGGTCTCCTCCTCCTCCACAAAGCAGTGATGGCTGCAAGCCTAAGCAGGGGTCCTGTGGCTGCTTCTTCTGCTCACCCTTTTTCTTTTCTTTTAGCTGCCTTTTTCCAGGATTGCATATCTGAGCAGGATCTGGATGAGATGAACATAGAAATTATACGAAATACTTTGTATAAGGTTAGTACTTGGGGACAAATAAATGTGGTGCTGCAATCTTCTCCCATTTGTGCAACATTGCTGGGTCTGCAGAATGAACTGAAGCTGGAAGGGCCAGGGCAAGGCCCCCTCCTCCTCCATGGGGGGGGGGGGAAGCGGGAGCCATGTTGGCCAGGCCTCAGCCTCCTACACCCTGGAGGCTCCTTTTTGCTCTCCTATAGGAACTGCAGAGTAAACAAACGGCAGATACCAACTTCTACCGAAGTCCTGCTTTTGTAAGGAGGTGTTAGGCCAGTGGCTCTCATCCTGTGGACCACGGACCCCTGGGGAGCTGCGATGTCATCACAGGCTTGAAGCAAAGACTTGAAGAAATATTATGATTTAAATCTTAAGTCTTGGGGGTCCATGGCCATGGTATTTAAGGGGGGGGGCATGGTGAAGAAAAGGTAGAGAACCACTGTGTTAGGCTCTTGTCTCTGGATGGCAGCCAAAGGGAGAGTTAATGCGATAGACGTACACACTATGAAGGAGAACCCCCGGAATTAATTTAACGCACGTGTTATATTTGAGAAGTAAATATTGGGGATGAGCATCCATTTGGATCTGAAGGGCAAAAGGTGAGTTGGACCACTTGCAACACCTGATGGAAGACCTCAGCGTTTGTCCTGTAGGAGTTCGGGATAGTAGTTCTTTTGCCATGATATAACAGCTGGTAGTGCTGCTGAAAGGGTGTGTTGACACTTTGTGAGACAAGGGAGGGTGAGGAGGTGTGCTGTGAGAAGCTGCTGCCACCCTTTTGGCCTCCAAGCACGGAGGTCAAGATCTGGCTTGGGTGCTCCAGGTTCATGGTCCATTTCGTGCCTGGCAAAGCCCAGGATGCTGCTTATACCTACTTCCCTTTGTCAGAATGATTCCCACGAGAGAGAGAGAGAGGGAGGGATCGTAAGTGCCGAGGCTCCCAGCCGACCTGAAAGCATAAAAAGAATGTGGGTAGTGGGGGGGGAGGGGTCTGCCAAGCTTCCTGGGCAGAGAGTTGAGCATAGAGGCTGCTGGACAGGTTTGGCCAAGGATATCTGTTTCCTTGAGGAAGTCCTTGGGTGGCTTCATAGTCCGGCCTGGGCTGGCTGAATCTTCCGAAAGGAAAAGGCCGGTCCATCTGCCCTCAGAGATTTCAGGAGGGGAGAAAGGCAAGATGATTTTAAGTGCTAATGTCCAAAGTAGCCTACAAATTGCCCACCAGTTGCGCTAGCTGCTTTGATTGCTTTGGTCCATTCCCAGGCGTCCGTAGAGGCTGTGTCTCCTGGGGATTTGGTTTCAAGATTCTCGCCTGTCCCAAAGCCTCTCACTCTTCTACCAAACCAGATGCTGCCCCCCCCTTCCTGGAGGGCAGTATCCCTGCCAGGCTGTCAGCACCTCAGTGGGCGATTCTGCAGCTTGCATGGGTTGCTCTTGTTGGCCTTGCTGGGCCAGGTCTTCACCATTGACTGTTTCTTTCCAGGCTTACCTGGAGTCCTTCTACAAGTTCTGCAAGAGCCTGGGAGGCACAACAGCAGACGCCATGTGCCCGATTTTGGAGGTAGGAGCCAGCTTAGCACCTGCTCTGTGGGGATCCAGCTTCCTGCTTGCTGGGCAAGAGAGGAGAGCCACAGGCCTTGGATGCCTCTGCCTGGGCTGGGTCACAGCCATTTGCAACCTGTAAGAAGGCAGCTCTCTCCTTTTGGGTGTCTGTCTTTGCCCAAGTTTAAGCAGTTTCTGCAAATACTTAATTTGGCACACGGTATCAGTTAATTCTTTCTTTTCCCACCTATCTTCCTTGGTCTATACAAGAACAGTTTCAGAGTAAAAAAACATATATTAGAAACTTTTTTTAAAAATTGCATCTGATTTTCCCAAGACAGAAATCAGACAGTTTTGCTGTAGAAGTTCTTGGTTATGCAGGCAGTTGCCAACTCATTCTGTCTTTTGTCTGTCTGTCTCTGTGTGAAATTCAACACTACAGTTAGTTTTCCTATTTCTGATAAGCTGGCAAGAATTGCTGATCCAATTAAACAAAGAGCTAGGAGGCCCTGTTGCTTCTGAGAGCAGGGGGGCCTTTGTGGGGTGGAATCTGCCGCTGGACCTACCTCGTCGGTCCTCCCCTCAGCTGCCCTTGTACTGACTGTGCCCCGTCCTCCTCGTGCTGTCTCTGATCCTGCCTGGGTCCCTCCCGGCTGCTTCCCTGCTGACCCGGCCTTTTTCCCCTCCAGTTCGAAGCGGATCGCAGAGCCTTCATCATCACCATCAATTCCTTTGGCACCGAGTTGTCCAAGGAGGACCGCGCCAAGCTCTTCCCCCACTGCGGCAAACTCCACCCCGAGGGCCTGGCTCAGCTCGCCAGGGCAGATGACTACGAGCAAGTCAAAACCGTGGCCAATTACTACCCGGTAAGGGCTCCGGGGCAGCTGTGTCTTGTGGGACTGGCCAGTGCGAGGGAGCCCATTCACTAGGGCAGCCCAGCTTGAACAGTGGCCGGTGCTGCCTGCATTGGTGTCCTTCTGAACTTTGACCCTGAGTTTTGCATTAGAGCAGGTGTCTTTTTTGTGACTCTCCTTCTCAGCACAGGCATTTCCCGGCCTGGCCTCCTCTAGATTTTTGGACTGGAATTCTGGATGTGGTGCTGCTTCCGATACAGGTGGTAGCGCTTGCTGAGAGAGAAGTTAGGACATTTCTTCTTGCCATTATCTTGTACTGGTCCAGCAAAAATGAGACTGGGTTGATGTTTACCCTTCCTTTATTTTGGATTAACACAAGGCAGCTCACGTTTTCTCCTCCCGTGAGCTGGGCAGGGGGAGGACTGGCCCAGGTCGCCCAGTGGCCTTTTGGTCCTGAAGCAGAATCGGGGCTTAGGATCTTCTGGATTTGAGATCAGCACCCCCTTAGCCCCCTGCCCAAATTGGCTCTCCCCTGTCTCAAAGGGAGTTCCGGCACTTGTCCATAAAGGCAGCCGGCGTGTTGTGCTAGCCGAGTGGTGCCTTTTTTTTGCTGTTCTGATTCTTTTCCAGTCTCTTGAGGCTGCCTAAACAAGCCAAATTGTATTCCATGTATTGCTTGAGGAAAGGTGCACCTCGGGGATGTGGGATGCCAGCTTTTCTGGTTCTCCCTCATTTCTCTTTCTCCTGCAGGAATATAAATTGCTCTTTGAAGGAGCAGGTAGCAACCCTGGTGACAAAACCCTCGAGGACCGGTTCTTTGAGCACGAGGTGAGCAGGTGGGAGCTCCCCACATACATGTAGCTCTTTCACTCTGTGACAAAGAGGGAAGCCACCCCCATCCCCCACGGGCCTGTGGTGGCATCAGGAAGGGAGAAGGGGCAGCAGCCAGAGGGACCCTTCCTCCTCTGCTGCAGCTCTTCTTGGGACCTTTTTCTAAGGCTGCCCTTTGTGGGTTATTGTGGTGATGATGATGAGCATCACAAGGTGGCAGCAGAGAAATACAAAGACGTCCTTTGCTGTCATCTGCAGTTTTTCAGGTTTGCTGAAGGCCTTGGACAAAGAATCTGTGGTCTGGCCTTGTCGCCCTCCGTACCTTTATGCCACTGCTAGACAGAAAGCAAAGTTGGAATTGAAGAGAGCTATAAATCAGGGTGCAGCACAGAGGGCGTTCCACTGCTGCTCCCCGTGGGGCTCCCCTGGTGCAAACCAGGGCAGTGGTGAGCTGTGCCCTCAAGAGCAGCGGCCTCACTTCAGCAGGGGGACAGCCGTGCTTAGAAGGCCAATGTTCAGCCTGGACAGGCTCACCAAATCCTGCGGCACCTCAAGGGGGGGGGGTGGCCATCACAGCAGAGGTCACGGGGAGCCTCCCATATGCAGCTTTGCCTGCCAGTATTGCAAAAATCTCCCCTGCCAAGCCCATTGAAGAAGCTGCTTCTTGCCTGGGACAGTTGGGGCTTCCCAGGATAGCAGGACGCCTGCTCAGGTGTTTCTCTTCCTGGCAGGTGAAGCTGAACAAGCTGGCCTTCCTGAACCAGTTCCATTTTGGTGTGTTTTATGCTTTTGTGAAACTGAAGGAGCAAGAATGCCGCAACATCGTGTGGATCGCGGAGTGCATTGCCCAGCGCCACCGAGCAAAGATTGATAACTACATTCCCATCTTCTGAGTGTTTCCCTTTGTCTGGCAAAGCCTGTAGATGTCCCGGAGGGCTTCTTCAGCCCCCGCCTGGGGAAGCTGAGGCAGGAGGGTCTCTGCACGCATCCCCTTTCCTGTTGGACTCCTTGTGTTTGCCAGAATCGGACAGGCTAAATTGTGCTGTGTCTGTACCAACTCATTGTGCTGTTGAGAAGGCGTCTTGCTGGGCGCATCCTGGGCCATCCTGGTGCCCCCATATGGGACGCACTCTTGGCATCTGCTTCCTGTTGCCACCATCTTGCTCGAAGACAGGTGCTTTTCAGACTAGGCCAGCGTAGCTCTTCTGAGGCACCCTGGAAGCAGCTGCTTAGCCAGCGATCCTCTGCCGGGAGTGATACTAGAATGGCATTCCCCCCCCCACCCCTCCCCTCCCCTTATGGGCCTGCCTGCTTCTCCCTTCCTTCGTGGCCTCTGGGTTCCTAAGCAGGCTCAGCATTGACTTTGCTGGGCTCCAGATGGAGAAGGCTCTCTCCTTAAGCAGCCCCTCCAGGCCCCCCTCCCCTCCTGCCAGGAGGGCCAGGGGCAGCTGTTTCCAAGGGCCCTGGAGGGCTCGACTCCGAGGTCAGGCCTGGGAGCCGTTGCGGCCGAGACAGAGGCTCTCCCTGCCCGGCTGGTTCTGAGCTCTTCCCACTCCTTGTCTTGGCCGGGCACCTGCATCACCCTCTGTTCACCGGAAGAGGTGAGGCTGGTGCTCTTGACCTCCTCGGCAGCTTTTCTCCCACCAGCGGGAATCGAAAAAGCTTCCCTCTGAACCGGCCCAAAGCTCTTGCTGAAAGTCCCATGTTTTGATTGAGAGCCATGCAGCTTGGCCCCTGGAGAATTGGGGAGGGGGGTGTCCTTGTTGCTAAGCCTCCTACACTTGAGCAGCAAAAAACGATAGGCGCCCACCCATTTGCACCCCTCTTCAGAAAATGGGCTTGGCCTGCCCCATCCGGCTTCCCAAGACCCGGCTCTCCTCCCCCTTGGATGCGGCCACCGGTCCTTTCCCTGGCTTTTGCGGGTGAGAGGAGTCCGTCCAGTCAGCCTCCGTGTGTGCTCAGTGATTGTGCTGTTCCCAGTATTTGACTTGTGTGTATCTTCCTCTTAAACCATGGCAATGAACCACTGAATCGCTGTTTCTGTCTTCTGGCCTCAGAGATTGGGCTTCTTGGGAAGGTTGGGCTGACCGCAAGCAGCTTTTCCCTGGACGGTGGATGAAAGGATCCAAAGATCACCCCGTGGCTTCCACTTAAGGGCAGATTCTTGCAAGTGGCCAGTTCTAATGTTTACTCCATTTATTTATTTGTTTGCTTGTTTGTTCGTTTAATTTCTGTGGCCCTCCCATTTTAATTAATGACTTACAGTTCATAAAATATATTACAATTAAAAATTTAAAAAAACTTTAAAACAATAAAACCAGTAAAAAGCATTAAAAACCTCCAACTCAAGATACACAAGAGCAAAATCTCACCACCTTCCCTAGAAAGGAAAGCTTGGACACCAGATGGGAACTGCCCAAGCTAACTGGTCCTTTGGGGACCATTGATGCTGCTTTCTGGGGCTGGACTGGGACCCCTTTGACCTACCAGATGGTTTTGGCCTCCAGGTGCCAGCAATCCTAGCCAATCCTAGAGAAACGGCTAATAAACCCAGTTTGTTTACAGCCCTTCAAATATTTGAATGTGGTGATGGTTATTACATCATCTTGCAGTTGTGTTGTTTCTCAGGCACAGGAGGTCCTGCTCTGTTTCTCTTCATCAGAACGGCCTTTGTTCCTCTCCGTGTGTCCCCTGAGCCCTGGTCTCCAGCCAGAGGCCTGTTCCAGGAGAGCCAGCTGACCTGGCAGGTGCCCTGCGGAGGGAAATTGCTGATGGGGTTTAAGAAACCCCAGTAAGGTTTGTTTGCTCTGGGGGGGCCAGATGGCTTGGCTTTCAACGTAAAGCGATTTATACTGAACGTAACCCTTACTAGCTCTGCTCGCTAACTTACTAACTGCTCCATCACTGGAGGCTTTCAGGAAGAGGTTGGACAACCGTTTGTCTGGAATGGTATGGGGGAGGGGGGTCTCCTGTTTGGGCAGGGGTTGGACCGGAAGGCCTCCAAGGTCCCTTCCAACTCTTGGTATTTCCCAGTTGAACTGAAATGGTTTGACCTATGGAAAAAATGAAAACTTCTTAAATTTGCTCTGCTGTGTCATGGAATAGAGCTCCAGCAACAGCATAGCAAATAAGAAAAGCTGAAGAAGTGTGTTGCAAGTGATAGCCACGTGCCAGATGTCCATTACCAGAACAAGCAAAGGCCAGCGCTAAGGAACTTTTCATTGAGGAGCCCTAAATGGTTCACCCCACGGTTGTCCTGCTCTCCTTTGCAGGGGGCCGCCCTCTGAGCGTGAAAGGGAGCTGCCTGGTTCTGGGGGGGGGGGGCAGCCACCGCTTCTCTGGCCGCAGAGTCTTTCTAAGGGGGGTTGGAGCCAGGAGCTCCTGGCCTGAACCCAACAGTACAGCTCTGTAGCTGGGAGAAGGTCCTGCCTGGTGCTGGGGGGAGAGCTGAGCTCCTCCTTAAAACCATGATGGTTCCCAGTCAAACACAATATCCAATCAAATAATGAAATATTTTTTTATTTAAGTAACAATACAATTGTGCTCCTTTTGAAAAAATAATAAATGGCAGGCCGTTGGCTCACCGGTGAGGTCACATGGATGCTGTCCCTGCACAGCGATGAGGGCTGCAGCGGAGGAGGAGGACTGGCCCAAGCAACAGAGGCAGGTTGGCTCATCAAGAAGCCCAAGGCCACGTGTTGGAGGTCAGCCCCTGTCCAGCAAGTGGCAAGAGAAGGTAGCTTAGTTCGCCTGAGGCAACCTTTAAGGAGGTATACGGTAGACTAGAGTGCTCAGAAGCTCTTTGTTTTGGCTAGCAGCAGTTTCTGACCTCTCCTTTGGCACATTGGGGGGGGGGGGAGAGAAAGTCCAAATAAACTTTGTTTAGCAAGGATGCTGCTTCTGTCCACCTCCAGGCCTCTCAGGCCTCGCATAGAGGACCAGGGCAGATGCACTTCCCATCCCCCCAAGGAAAGTCACTGTGGGAGGCAAACCCAGGATTTGTCCCTCAGAACTGAAAAAAAATTGCCCTGGCCTTTTTTCTATAGGAAAAAATTCCTCTTCTAACTAGCTGGATACGGGTGGAATAAAAAGAGGAACCTTCCAAGGAAACATTCTCCAGAGTTTCTCTGGCGATGGCGCAACAGAAGAACCCAAGCAGCTCTCACAACGCCTTGGGTGGGTGGCAGGCCTGGGGACACAATCCCTGGGGCAGCTTTGGATTGATAAAAAAGGCTTTCAGGAAAAGGTCCCGGACGGTGTGAGGGAGGTAATGGTGGATGAAGTACATGAGCCACAGGCCTCTCCCGGGATAGTATTTTAGCCGTGGTTTGGTGGACAGGAGGCCGTCGGTGATGCTGTCCACCACACAGCTTAGGTCCTCCACAGCCATCTTCATGAAGCTCAAAAATTGCCTGTTGATTTCCTCAAGATAGTCCTCTCCGTAAGCTTCCAGAAGGTCAGCAGGTAATGCTGAAAGGAGCTGCTCCTTCTTTTCCTTCCAGTACTCGGGGTTACAGCTGTCACCTGTTGTAAATCGGGGAAAAGGAGAGAGGTGGAGAGCTTACTCTCGTAAGGCACTGGAAAAGGCTCGTGTCTGTAAAACGGGGACAGTTGCTAATGTAAAGCTTGGTCTTCCAAGAATTTCGGTTTACATTTTTAAATGATAGCAGAGGAATGCTTGCCTGCTCCCTTTGCTCTGTGCAGCAGGCAGCATTCTCACTATCATTTAGACCAGCAGCTCCCGGCTTTGGGGGCACCAGGGACCATTTCCGTGGGGAGCAGTTTTTCCGCAGACCAGAGGGGGCGTGGTTTCACATGCTGCCTGCATCCTGTGTGCCCGGTTGCTGGCATGCCACGGACCAATGCCGGTCCACGGACCGAGGGTTGGGGACCCCTGATTTAGACATTCGGAGTCCTTGCTGCACAAAGGAGGATCCCCCGTCTCCTGTTCAAGCTCTGTGTAGGCATTCTGGAATACCCACTTGAGAAGGGAAGCAAAGACACACACAGAAAGAGCCCAGATGAGCCTCCCTTGGAAGGAGTAGCCAAGTCATGCAACATGCAGACAAATGTCCGCTGATCAGGATCCCTCGGCATGATCTGGGCTGGCTTAGACCAGTTCCTGAGGCATTTATTTTCCAGGGAAATTACTGAGCTCAGAAGGCCACAATGAAAAATCTTACTGGAAAGCAGCAGAGATCTTACTGGAAGGACAAGTGTGTGTCGAGTTTCTGTATTTGGGGCAAATGTGCATATTAATACATAGCACGGCTAACATTAATTTGCCTTAATCTTAAAGTGGAAATCAACATAGAACGGGGTGATACAATAGCATCACCTATTCTTTTCTCAGCCTGCCTTGAAGAAGTATTTTGCAAACTGGGCAAAAGATGGAATAAAAATCAATGGTGCCTATTTAAATCACTTTAAGGTTTGCAGATGATGTCGTTCTCGTCTCACAAGACCCAGAAGAGCTACAAAGACACATACAAGAGCTGCACAAAGCAGGAGAACCATTTGGCTTAAAAATAAACCTGAAAAAGAGCCAGGTTATGTTTAATAAATTCACCAAAGAAAAATATATATCTGGAGAAGACCTAGACATAATAGACCACTACATCCTGTATAGCTTGGCCAACAGATCTCAGTGAAAGATGATGAAATAAAGACAATTGTTAAATGTGGTTGGCAGGCATTTGGAAACTAAGCGTAATTTTCAAGAACAATCTCCCCCTCAACCTGAAGAGAAAAGTTTTCAATCAGTCTGTGCTACCTACTCTAACGTACGCCAGTGAAACATGGGCACTAACCTCACAATCGATACAAAAGCTAGGAGTGGCACAAAGAGCCATGGAAAGAGACATGCTCAGCGTTACAAGACAAGATAGAAAGACCTGCACATAGATCAGAGGACAAATGAAAGTATGCGACAGCATCAAGAGAGTAAAAGAATGGAAATGGGCTGGTCACATAGCAGGGACCAACGGCAGGTGGACCAAGGCAGTCCTAGAAAGGATCCCACTTGATAAAAGGCGTCTACAAAAGAGACCTAAAACAAGATGGAGAGACGACATCAGCCAGTATGGCGGGCCCAGTTGGCAAAGGAAAGCCCAGGACTGTATTGGTTGGAAACTTACGGAAGAGGCCTTCATCCTGCAGTGGACAGACAATGGCTAGGATGATGATGATGATAGCACAGCATTAGCCAAGTATTTTCAGCCTTACCTGTTTTGAAGTACCCTGGAAAAATCACGCTCACTCTGATTCCCCAGGGTGCAAGCTCACAGTGGAAGGTGTCCATCAGAAGGCTGAGAGCCGCTTTGGAGGTACCGTAGCTGGCCAGGCAGGGGTAGGGCATATTGCCTGGGGGAACACAAATAAACCTTGCAGTGCCTATCATCGGCCCTATTGAAGGCTTCAAGGCCCCCAGCAGCAATGCCTCCTCCCCAGAGATCTCCATGGGTCACTATTACTGGTGAGCACCTTCTGAATGGATCAGGCGGAAACGGCCAGCAATTTTAACTGCATGGAGCGCAATGCTTGCCACAAGGACCTTGGTTCACACAATGCACCAAACCAGATATTGTGCTAGGTAAAGCAAGGCTGGGTTGATCTGTTAACGGGCCAAAGAAGGATCACCTGTTACTGATTAGTCTCTGGACAAACAAGTTTCTGTGGCAACCTGTTGTAGTCCCAGAATGGTGGGGGGGGGAACGACACATATTTCTAGCAAATAAAGTTGCAGATAAAGCCCTCAGAAGGATCTGCTAAAGAAACGGAACCAGAAAACTAAATTTCCAGGTGGTCGCGCGGCCACTCTGTCCGTAGGCCCAACACCCTCCCTGTGGGCTCAGCCTGAGCAAGCCCTGTTTTCTGAAGGGGCCCCTTACCAGCCGGGCTGCTGACTGTGACGATCCTGCCACGGGATGAGCGGAGCAGGGGCAGCAGTCCTTTGGTCAGCTCCAAGGGCCCAAAGAAGTTCACCTCCATGCAGGTGCGGAAGTGGAGCAGCGGTGTCAGTTCTGCATTGGCAATGGTGTCATTGAACCCAGCGTTATTCACGAGGCCCCAGAGACCTGCCCGTTGAAACAAAACAGGGAAGTATGGAAATGCTCACTGCGCCCTGAGAGGGCACGAAAGGAGGAGGTGGAGGGGGGGTGTTAAGCAAAACATGGAGTCTGCCTCATGAAAACTATTAATCCCCAACAGTGGCCCTGGTGACTATTTTCCCATCGCTTCCTCTACTGGGCTGTGCTGATGGCAGAAGAGCTGTCCTCAGTGCAAAAATGACTGCAGAACATCTCCACTCAAGTCCCCCCCCCCCCCGGAGGAGGTGCTGGCCAGGGTCTGGGTGGAGACAGCAAAAGATGTGACCAAGAGCAAAGAGGGACGGAGACCTTGGAAGCCAGCACATTGTGGGAGGAAGGTCGCTGTAGGTCAGTGGGCACAAGAAATTCTGAGAATGTGTTGGGGGCACTCTCCTTCAGCATTTATAGGAGGCCAGTGACTGGATGCCATTTCAAGGCCAGCCGTGGTCTTCCCACTTCTCTATGATCCTCGTCCCTCAGTCAGATGGTCCCTGGGGAACAGCCTCTTGGGAAAGAGGGATTCCTACTTCTGAGCAAATGGGGACGGCCTCTTCTAGGCGGGCACTGAGCGGCTGCTGCTGCTGAGCTCCAGTTACCTGTCCTTCCGGTCTGGGCCTTGATGAACTGCAGGGCATGCTGAATGTCCTCCGCCTTCGTGAGGTCCATTTGCAGGAGAGTCAGCCGTGGGGAGCACGTCTGCCGAAGCTCTTCTGCCCCAGAGCTCTTCAGGTCCAGCACGCTGGCATAGACGGTCAGCCCCAGCCTGTCCAGGTGCTGGGCGGCTGCCTTCCCAAAGCCGGAATCGCATCCTGGGGGGCATAAAAAGAGCGGTGGGAGAGCTGGACAAGACGTCCTGCCCCACCTCACCTAGGCATGACCTTACATGGTTATTTTGAAGACGGAAAAGATGAAAGCATGACGGAGGGCCATACCAGAATATGTGGAGGGGGGTAGGAATCAATCAATTATGGGATGATTATGCTTTATCCATAAGGCTTCCAAGAATCTTTGTGGTTTTTCACAATTTTTAAACAAAGATTAGTTACAAGTCAAATGGAGACAACATTTAAATGCACTGAATAGTCACAATAAAAATCTTAGGAATTAATTTCAATATAATTAACTACATACCTAACTTTCCTATAGAGAATGATGGAGATTTAAAAACACTTAATTTGGGTGAGGTACAAGGTCCCCTCCCCCCCACGGAATGTATTTGTATTATAATGTATTATAAAGGTTATCTTATCTTGTACAGTAAATGCCAGAGATCTGCTCATTGGGTCCCGGGGGACACGAGGTGGGAGGAACATGCAGAACTCGGAAATCACCCAGGTTTCCAAAATAGTTTGGACTCTGCATTTGAGTTTTCCTCAGTAAGAACCTTGCTGTAAACTACACTAGAAAGGGGAGGGGAGGGGAGAAAAAATAAAATGAGCCCCTCAATCTTGGAAGTGAGAGTATGACAAGAGACCTTACAATATCAACCAGGTTCTCTATTTTGACAACTTTTTGATTTTTCATTTAGTTATTTTTTTGCAACTATTTTGGAGTCCCCAAAGCATTAAAAAGCTCTGAACTGACTGATGCCAAAGCCATCATTTTGTCAGCCTCAAGATTCCATCCTTGATTGGGCCAAATAATTTAATAACAAAAAGCAGAATAATAATAGCATCAAAAAAACGGTTAACACTAAGAAAGATGCACCAGGAAGATGATGGGACCCACAGTTGCCGGCAGAGGCTGAGCCGTGGCTTCATCTTCAAAAACCAGCACATCCAAGACAGGCTGACATCACAAGGGGACTGGCCTTGTGTTGTGTGTCCACAAATGAGGGAACCCCCAACTTTCACTCAGGCTGAGGAGAGGGCGCTGGGGGGGGGGCTGTCAAAGGTCGCAGGCTCATTATGGAAGAGCCCCTGGAGCTCAGCTGTGGGAGAGCCCTTCCTTCCTTCCTCCTCCCAGAGTTTTCCAGACCCACTTCAGCGTTCGGCTGGTGGGGGGAGACGGGAGGCATGGACTCTGATAGCAGCCCCAAACCAGGGGACCTGATGCTTCGTGCGCCCAGATGGCCCTATTCCCAAACAGGGCTGAGCCGGGATTATGGAAATGATGGGAAGGCCAACGAAGCCTCACTTGACCAGTCGGCTCACGGGAAAGCAGTTCTAGTTGTAGCACAAAATAGTTGCCATCTCCGTGCACAGTTAAGTGAACTCTACTCATCAGCTGCCTAGAAGAAGAAGAAGAGGAGGAGGAGGAGGAGGAGGAGGAGACGACGAACTTTCATTATCAACACCCACAGCTCTTCCTAATGCTCCTCCACTTGCCTCCTCCCGAGGAGGAACCTTCTCGCCAGTAACTTTCTGCTTTCAATCCAGGGCACGGGGGACCCTGAGCCAGGACCGGAGCAGCCCAGGGGAGAGGGAGGCTTCCCAAAAGGGAGGTTAATTGGAGCACACGAGGGCAGGAGAGGCCCTCGCCTTCACCACAGCAACCCCCACCCCTTCGGGCAAATTCAAGAAGATCTGGAGCAGCCTAGAAATATACACTTAATGTTAAAAACAAAAGGTCAAGGACCAAAATATAAAATAAGGAAAGCAAGCATTACAATAATGCCAGGAAATAAAATCAGCATTAAAAACCACAAGTGTCTAAAGGGTCTTCCAGAGCAGCCGCAGAGGCAGTGCTCAGCCCCGGCGGACGAGGGAGCCTCCCTCCCAGCCCAGCCAGCAGGTGACGGGCACTTTCTGGGACCAAAGCCCCCACGCCTCAGGCCCCTGCACTCCCCTTGCCCGGCCAGGCTGCGCTCCTCTCTCACCTGTGCCTGGAGCTTGAGTGGCTTGCAGTCCCCACTGACCCCAGGTGCCTTTGGGCTTTGGCCCGCCTTTCCCCTCCATGCCTGCCACAAATCGTTCAAAGCCGTGGCGGCTTTTATGGACCACGGCAGCAGATCAAACATGGAGCTGAGGTTTCTCACCAGGCGTGTAGCCTAAGAATGGCTTGTGTACCGGTCCAAACCTGAGGGAACGAGGAATTTGCCTCAATTTGTTAACCCCTGTCTAACCAAGGTGCTATTATAGTTATACCGCTATTACAGCTTGCTTGGAAGGTGCAAGCGTGAATTAGTTGTATGATACAGGGGGGTACTGACATGAAACAAGAGTGTGGCATACAGCAACCAGTGTCTTCATGGTGCCATGCAGAAGCCTGTCCAGGAGTCCAGGGTTGCTTCTTTCTGGGATTCAGCCACCACGGGGAGAAAGGCAGAGCCCCCAAACTGCACCCATCACACTTTCTTGCTTAAATTACAACCAGCCCCATTTCAGAAAGGGGGGAAAGCAGATGTGGCTGATTTTCAGGTCAGGAAACCCTGGAAACTGCGATGTATCAGTGGGGGGGGGGAGGTCTGAGACTGCTTCCCTTGCCGGGAGGGGGGACTCCACTCCAGGCCTGTGACCTGCAGCACTGATAACAGCCTGTCTTTCACCTGGGCTCCAAGCGGCTGCTCTTGGCCTCCAACCCACAGCACAGGAGAGACAAGGCTGCCTCACATGAGTGGAGAAACTGGCGGCGCGGGGAGGGGGGTACTCCTTCCAGAGGAGGGCAAGGAGGGGAGGACTTGACTTTCTCACGCCAAGCGGGAGAGAAAGGGGGAGGAATGAAAACAATCTGGGGCAAGCAAGGTACAGGATGTTCTTTTCCCCTCTGATAGGTATGGTGATAGAACTTCCTTCTCCAGCAGATTTATGGCAACATTAACCATTAACAGCTGTCGGCCAGCTGCCAGCCGCCAAGCAGAGGGTGCTGCAGTCTTGTGTGCACACCGGCTGCCACTCCCTCAGCCCGACATTTCCACCCAAAGGGCACAAAACCAGCCCGACTGGCCCAGGGGACCTTTTCTCTCCTTGGCCAAACCAGGGCCATCCTTGAGCTCAGGACCAAAGGCAGAGCAGTGCTTTGATGTTTGCAATAATCTGCCCCAAAGCAGCCAGTGATGAGGGAGCCAACAAATATTATCAGACATGTATGCCTAAATGCGTGCCTTTGTTTTCTAGCAGGATCCCACTCTGGCTAGATTTCAGAGCTGCTCTTCGCAGACGATGGCCTCTCCCTTTCCTTCATACAATCTTCCATTTGTAAGAGCGTTCTAGGAGTGAGATACGCCTGAAACATTTGGGGCTCTCCCAGACTCTCAATTCTCTCCTTATCACAAAGGCCTCTTTCCAGTTTGTCAGCTGTCAGCTCCTTCAGCAGACGCCATCTCATCCCTGACCCCACCTGGGTCATCTCTGCATTTTAGCTGGTTTTTCTCTGGAAGGTCAGTGCGATGGCCTTGGAGAAGGAACCATGTGAGGCCACCCAGAAAATGGTGGATATTAGCCAGGCCCCAAGGCTGCTCCTCCAGCTGCCCCAGACGCTTCTGAGGAGAGTGAGCAGCCCCAGGGCAGCCTTCGAAGGAACACCAGAAGATTTCTCTGCTGCGGCTGCCAGCAGCCGTCTTTCTAGGCAGGCAGATGCTTTAGAACCCTGCATATATATATATTTTATTATTATTATTATTATTATTATTATTATTATTATTATTATTATTATTATTATTATTATTATTATTATTATTATTATTATTCCACTGGTGAATTGTTCTGTCAGGAAATTTCTCCTTAGTTCTAGGTTGCTTCTCTCTTTGATCAGTTTCTATCCGTTGTTTCTTGTCCTGCCTTCAGGTGTTTTAGAGAATAGCTTGACTCCTTCTTCTTTGGGGCAACCCCTCAGATACTGAAACGCTGCTATCATGTCACCCCTCATCCTTCTCTTCATTAGATTAGACATTCCCAATTCCAGCAACCGTTCCTTATGTTTTAGCCTCCAGTCCCCTAATCAGCTTTGTTGCTTTTCTCTGTACCCTTTCTAGAGTCTCAACATCTTTTTTACATTGTGTTGACCAAAACTGGATGCAGTATTCCAAGTGTGGCCTTACCAAGGCATTGTAAAGTAGTATTAACACTTCACGTAATCTTGATTCTATCCCTTTGTTAATGCAGCCTAGCACTGTGTTGGCCTTTTTGGCAGCTGCAGCACACGGCTGGCTCATATTTAAATGATTGTCCACTAGGACTCCGAGATCCCTCTCACAGTTGCTACTATTGAGCAAGGTACCACCTATACTGTACCTGTGCATTTGGTTTTTCTTGCCTAAATGTAGAACCTTACTTTTTTTCACCATTGAATTTCATTTTGTTATCTGTCAACATCTGAGCTGGACCATTCTTTCTCTGACAAAAAAGAGATGATCTTAAAGTAATTTGGCCATTGTTCTTTCTGGAACTACTTCACTTGGGATAGAAGATTCTAGACCTTTTCTTCTGTTAAATTTTAATGTTGCACCATATTTCTAGTACACATATAAGCATATATTAATGGTTCTGTCAGTTTGTTGGAACAAATGAGGATGCAAAATAATGCTTATACTGCAGTTTCAGACTTCACATCAGAGGTCAGCTAGTTCTACCTGCTGCTCGGTGCCAATCCGCAAGAGCCCTCTGGGTACGCAGCCTTTGTTTTAAGGCTTCCAGTGATGGGAATGGGCCTTTTCCTGAGGCAGCCATCAGAAACACAAGCCTGCCCTCCAGAAAAACAGAGGCCAAGCCCATTCCTTCCTGCGCATCAACCTTGAGACATCCAAAGACTGTCACCTACCCTACACCCCCCCCCCCCCGTTTTCTCTTCCTCCAACCAAATGCATCCAGTCCCTTTCATTGTCCCTCGTGGGACTTGGCCTCCAGGCCCTCCACTGCCTTGTTGCCCTCCT